AAGTCCCCAGTAGGGGGCACGTAAGAGACAACCACACACTGATGTTTCTCTCCCTCTCTTTCTCCCTCCCTTCCCCTCATCTATAAATAAATAAAATCTTTAAAAAAATGAGTATATATTTTCTGAGCATGCTAACTAAAGATAATGAGAAATGCCTAGTAAACTGCAACTGATGGAAGTTAACATAGAGTAGCGATTTTCAAATGGCGTGCTTCAAGAATATTTAAAACATGCCTGACTATTTAGTCAGGGGTACTGATCTCTTTTCCCTTACACTGTCAAATAAAAAAACAACAGTCAACGTAATAATAGCTGTCCAGTGTGAAAGAATTAAAATTATACCTATTTTTTTCTCACACCAGCAAAAAATGTATTTTTTGGTGTGCTGCAAAATTTTAGTAATTAATTTATGTGTGTCACAGATGAAAAAGGTTGAAAATCGCTAATCTAGCATGGAGAGAACAGAAAACTAAGAGTTGGCAGTACATGGACTTCCAAAAGTGGAAGAACTAATGAAATCTTAGAAACTAGAATATTTAAGGTAGACTATTATAACACTTTAGGGAATAAATTGGATTGTACAGATATATTTTTCCTTGTAACTTTTAAATTATAAGAACAATACATGCTCATTATAAAATATATGGAACATCCAGAAAAGTTTTCTTTAGAAGAAAAACAGCCCTGGCCACATGCTCAGTTCGTTAGAGCACTGTCCACTTAGGCCAAGCTGCAGGTTCCATCTCTGGTCAGGGCACATGCAAGAAGCAACTACTAAATGCATAGGTGGGTAGAACAGAAAATCGATGTTTTGCCTGGGCCAGGTGGCTCAGTTGATAGAGGTGTCGCCTTGTACACAAAAAGGTCCTGGGGTGGATGCAGGTTTGATCCTTGGTTAGGCCCAGAGGCAACCAATTAATGTTTCTCTCTCACATCAATGTTTTGATGTTTCTTTCTCCCCCTTCCCTATCTAAAATCAATAAACATATCCTAGGGTAAGGATTGAAAAAACAAATTTAAAAAACCCAAATTGATGTTTCTCTCTCTCTCCCCCCTGACTTCTTCTTTCTAAGAATCAATCAATACATATTTTTTTAAAAAGAGGAAGAACAGTTGATACTTGAGCAACACATTTTAAATTGCATGGATCTACTTATATGCATTTTTCCCCAATAAATATGTATACTACTGTAAATGTATTTCTCTTCGTTAATTTTCTTAACATTTTCTTTTCTCTGGCTTATTTTATTGTAAGAATACACACACATATTGCAAAATATGTGTTAATAGATAGGGTTAAAATCAACAACAGGCTATTAGTTAAGTTTTGGAGGAGTCAAAACTCATGCTCAGATTTTCAACTGCACGTAGGGGTAGGAGATTGTGGCCCCTAGGTCCAGAGCTGTTCAAGGGTAGACTGTAATTCAATTAAGCAGTCAGTTTGGATATTTTGGCTTGTTCCCTTGCAGTCTTTTTTTCCTGTATGAGCAAGTTAGTCTAAAGAGAAAATTTTAAAGTTTTAAGCTCCATAAAAATAATAAACTACAGTTTTTCACTATACCATATTTAAAATGAAGCATGGTACAGATGAAATAGCATGAGTTGATAAATCATCAAACATGGGCTAAAACTAAGACTCTGTCACTTACTAGTCAACTGATTTTAAAAATCTCCTTTTAGCTTCATTATTCCCTTTGTAAAATCTGGATAATGTTAGCTGCCTGTTTTTAATGCCAGGATTAAAATGTACAAAAACAGAATACATTGAGCTTAATGAAAATATGTATTAGTTGCTTTCTAGTATTACTTAACTTTTCATGTAGAAGCTAATTTCTAAAAAATTAAAGATGGGAAAGTAGTGAAATTAAGATTGAAAAGGAAAAAGATGAAACAAAGGCTAGAAAATCTGCACAAAAACAGACTTCATAAAACTGAGGCTGAAGAGGCTTTAGCATTTCTGGAATATCTAAAAAGCACTTTAAATTACTCCTGATAATGAACATGCTGTTTTTAAAAAATCTTAACATTTTAAATTTTTTGAAAATAATATGGTTATATGTAACCAAACTTTAATTACAAAAGTTTGTAGTTTTGCAAGCTCACTTAAATAGATTTCAACAGAAACGGTAGGCAAATAATTTTTTAAAACTGATTATAGATTATTCTTTTCATTACTTTATAGTAATTATATATGCTTACATTTAAGCTTGGGAACAAGTTTTACCTATAAACTATCATAAGGTGACTCTAGACTTCAATAAAATTGCCTTAAAATTCTGGTATATTTCACTAATTTCTAAGTTTTATGGCAACAGTTATGATTTGGAGAGGCAGAGTGGTTAAGACTACCTTGGATTAGAAGGTAAAAGACCTGAGTTCTATTTGTAGCTCTGACATTTGGTAGGACTGTGACCTTGGACAAATTACCTTTCTGAGTCTCAGTTTTTTTCATCTATATAAGAGTGATCATATCTATGTTGGACCCAGTATTAATGTAACACAAGACTGTATTCCCTTTTACACCCTAGGAGGTTTATACAGGTGCAAGTATTATTTACTCCAAAAATAAATTTAAAGGGCAGGTGAGTTTCAGGATACTTTCAGGCATATAAAAGTCTTCAGATTTCTAAACAACATTTAGTGTTATTATCCTGCACTATGTTCTTCTGTTGTTGTTATACTTTCTTCCCGTCTTATTTTTCACAGGATTAATCATTTTATATAAAGCACACATTTCATTGAAAAGGTATTTTTAAAACTCCTTCCATAAGGCAATACTGATATGCCTCTTGGATAAACAGATTCTTCAAGATTATACAATATTACTTTTTATGTAGATGATACTAGTGGGATGGTAATATATTCATGTTTTCTCACCCTACAGCCCTTGAGACCAACAATATTTGTGAGCCTAAGGGTACTACTATGAGAGGTCACAACAGAGCAAAGCTAACTCACTTCGCTGCAGTTGAATTTGTGACCTTAGCATTATTTTCAGTGAGTTCATTCAGCTACCTACTTCTGCAAGACATGCACTATTTGCTATATAATCTTAAATAACTAGAACTTTTGCTAACATTTGTTGCATTTCATTACTGCACTACCATTGTGTACATTTTATTTCAGTGTCTGTTGTCCTCAAGAAGACCATAAATTCAATGAAGATACTAAAATTTGCCGGCATTTGACTGAAACAGAAATGGAATTGTGAAAACACTGTAGCAAAAAGACTATATTCATGGATGTATAAAACTAATTGTCTTGTGTTATTAATGGGATGCTTTGGGTGGATATTTAGTAGTTTCATTTAAAATGGAGTTAGTTTAAATCATCATTCAGCAAAATTTTAAAAAATATTTTTAAAAGATTTTATTTATTTTTAGAGAGGGGAAGGGAAGGATAAAAAGGGAGAGAAAAATCAATGTGTGGTAGCCCCTCACACGCCCTCTACTGGGGACCTGGACAGCAACACAGGCTTGTGCCCCAGACTGGGAAGGGAACAGCCATCCTTTGGTTGACAGGCTGGCATTCAATCCACTGAACCACACCAGCCAGGGCTGTCTAGTGAAATTTTTATCTTATGTATACTTTAGCAATTTAATGTAGGTGGGTATCTTCTACATTTTAGCGATGAGGAATCTGACATTCTGAAAAAGTAGAGGAGTATATTCAGGGTCACACAAAGAGTAACTGTTAGAATCAAAAGGAAAACATAGGGCTGTTTCACTGTAAGTCCAAGCTCTTTCAGACATGTGAAATTCGTAAAGGAAAATTTTCTTTAACCTAAGCAAAGTGAAAGGACAGAAGTGTGGACACCATTCATAATTTTAAAGTCAAATGGTATTATAAATATTATAGTTAGAGCATTTTATAGCTATAACTCTTGTTCCAATTTGCAAATTCCTATGCTGAGCTCTGAATAGTATTACACTGAAATCTCATCAAGATTTATTTATTATAGAAATGAACAATGTCAGAGTTCAGCTTGACCCTACAGTCTATCTAATGATATTTACTTGGATAAAAAATGTACAAATCAGTCTATCTAAAAAACGAATGATCTGCAAATAACATTAAGTCACTCAAGAATTGTCTCAGGTTATCTTTCGCTCTAGAGGGAATTCAACAACAGATTATTTTCCCACAAACCCCAAGTTGTTTTTCAGCCAATCCCTCTTTCTCTTCATTCATATTTCAAACCTCAGTGTCTAGTAAGCCTATTTGGAGCCCCAGTACTCAAAACCACCCTTTACAAAATGCCAGAACGGTAAGAACAATACCATGACTTGTCTTAACTATGTGCTGTGTTTGCAACCATTCAAGATGGAACGGGATTGAAAAACAATGGGGGAAATCTCTACAACAGAAAAACGTCTCACTTACGTCATAAAAAGGTTTGACTGAGACTAAGCGGTGGGTACCACACACACACACACACACACACACACACAATCTTTGTGGAGGTTTTCATCGGAGATCGGTCTACCAACATGGACAAGTGAAGACATAAGAAAAGCATAAACTTAATGGCCAAGACCTAAGCACATATTGCACGGACAGAACGAAGTATTTAACAATGCACTTTAGTTCTAGCTCCTTTTTTAAATCCAAGTACGCACTTCACTGAACTTTAAGTGAGGTCTGAACAGGAACCCAAGTTACTTTCCTCTTAAGGGATATATGTAGAGTCTCCAAGATTACACATTAATGTACAGGCCATACCTCCAGGGATCGCAAACTGAGATTAAGTCTTTCTTCTTTTTTATCTCCAGAAAAATGACAAGGTGAGGGCGCGAAGGATGCCAAGATTAAAGGGTCGAGAAGAATCTCGTTTTCCTCTACTCTAGAGAACGTGCCCAAAGATCACATTCTCCAGCCGAGCGCCAAGAAGGTGCTGGGCCCGTTCAGGGTCGCGGATATGGTAGCATGTGAGGAGAGCCTGAGAAGTAGGAACGGACCTCAATAGGTGGGCAGGCAGCAACCACCCTTCCCCCACTCACCTCTCCAAGCGCAGTTTAACCGGAGCTGTCCGAGTAACTGCCGCCATCACCATCGCCATCCGTCTGGGTGCTCGCTGAGGTGGAGGGAGGCCCAGCCACTCCTGCACCTCATCTAAGTCCTACAAGGCGATTGCCTTTCAGCAAGTTCCCACCCCTCGGCTCAGGGTTCCCGTCTGAGACGTCGCGGTCACCGCCTCCACTCACTGCCTAGACGTTACCACCACTTCCGTGTTCGGCTCCCTCCCTTTCTTTCTCAGTCCCCCAGCAACCGGCTTTTTTCCTCTCATCCGGCGAGCAGTGACGTCACCAGCCCGCGACCTGAGTCCAGACCCGTGCTGGGCGTGGGCGTGCCGGCGCAAGCGCCGTGTGGCGAGCGCGCCCGAGCGCGGGAATCGTCCCTGCGCCTGAGTTTGTCTCTCCTTTCTCAGTTGCGGAGGCGCAGGCAACTCGGTGAGTTCTCTTTGGCGCTATCCGTTCGGAAGAGGAGAGTGTCCTCTTCCCGGTTTATTGTCTAAGAGATCCTGCATTTTTTTCTGCTTGTGCCGGTCGGGTGGGGTATAGAGGATGTCGAGAGCGTGCTCGGGGGAGGTATTTAATAGTGTGAAGAAAGACGGTCCTTTTTTCGTCAGCCCAGGGCTTTCCTTTCCTTTAAAATAACACTAGCTTTTTTGGAACATTTTCAGCTGGGTGAAGGAAAAGATGCCTGCGACACGGAAGCCGATGAGATACGGACATACAGAGGGACACACAGATGTCTGTTTTGATGATTCTGGGAGGTAAAGTACTGTGAGAAGCAAAAAAGTTTCAGGTGTAAATATTAGAACCTCTATTCTTATGTCATATAAGCCTAAAACAAGTCGTAGAAACATAGAGAAATAAGGTTGAAATGTAAAACGGCACGTTTATTTTCCTTACATTTATTGTTCTATGCAGACTGTCATGGTAGTTTAAGGATATCAGAAAGTTAATGAGTGTAAAAATCTTACTTCCAGGGGAGTTGGAAAGATGTGACTTTTCCCTGTATTTTACCTTTGTTCACTTCCTCGCTGCATCTCATATTAGTTATGAGATGTCAGAACGCTAGGTGCCTACTTGTCACATTCAGTGGCCCTTTCTATCTTTTTTGTCTTTTATCCTCCCTTGGCTTTCTTGGTGCTATTTACTTTTTTGTTGTTTTTAACTTTCTGGTGGATGTTTTTTCTATTTATTTCCCCTGCTTGATTCTTATGGTGATATTTTCCTAGGGTTATTCAGGTCTCTGAGCTTTTTAAACCCTATTCCTATGTACCACTATCCAATTGTGTGGCTTCCCCTGTCACTTCTATGTTGATTTTTCATTGAAAAATATTTGCACGTCTATTCAATTGAGGACTAAAGATATAATAGAGTAAGCAAAGTACAGTCTTTTCCTTCATTGACTTTAAGGTCTTTTTAGATTGACATTGGGCACAAATCACAAAAAATAACTGTACATTTAAAGTTGTATTTAGAAATATTAATTGATATGTGTAATGATCCTAAAATGGGAAGTTGATATAGTTTGAAAAGGCAGGGAAAGCTTTTCTAAGGAAGTGTTTTGTGAGATGAGATCTGAAGACTGAGTAGTCATTAAGAAGTATAAAGAGGTGGTCACAGTGGGGTGGAAGTATTGGCACTCAAAGGGATAGACATGTGCAAACACCCAGTGGGGATAGGGACTGTGGTCTGCTCAAAGAACTGAAAGAAAGCTAGCGATCTAAAATGTAGGCAGTGATGCTGAGATTGACAAGAGACAAATTTGTGAAGGTAGGCATTGGACATCCTACCCAAGGCCTTTTGATTTTTATTAAGGAATCTTGATTTCATAATAAAAGTAGTAGGAGGGTATTAAAGATTTGAAGCAGAGAGGAGATATGATCAGACTCTGAGAAGGTACATGGGGGAAAAGGAGCAGGAGTGGATTCAGGGAGACTATTAGAAGGTATCTGTGTAAGTTTGGTTCATTTGATGGGGACTTAGACTGGAGTAGACATGGTTATGTAGAGAAGAAGATACATTCAGGAGACATTTAAAAGGCAAAATCGAGAGGATGGATCAGATAGTAAGGATGAAGGACAGGGAGGTATCTAGGATAATGTCTGTAATTCTGCAGTTCTGTCATTCCCCCATGTTCAAAAAGCTTAGCATATTTCAGAGGTAGAATGTGGATGGAGATTATGAGTTTGCTTTTGGACATGATTAGTGTAGGATTTCTTTGAGATACTCAGCTAGAGAAGTAGATAGCTGAATAAGCGCATTTAAAGCTCAGGGACGAAATGTGAACTAGAGATGGAAATCTACATCTTTAGCTCATGCCTCCTGGAATTTAGGATTGAGGTCTTGCCTGGAAATCTAAATGTGGGAGTTGTCAATGTAGAGATGATGTTTAATACTATGAACTTTGAAATCATGTAGAAAGGGAATGAATGTAGTTAAAAAATATTCAAAAGTTAAGCCCTGGAACAATTTGAAATATTTAAAGGTCAAGTTAGAGGAAGAGGATCCAGTTAAGGAAACTAAGAAGGGATGGCTAGAAAAATAGAAAACGAAGATATAAGAATGATGTCTAGAAGCCAAATGAAGCATTTTGTGGAGGAAATAATAAACTACATCAAATACTGCTGGTGGGTCAAATTGAGGACTGAGAATTCACCATTATCTTTAGTGATGTGGAGGCCATGGATGGATGATCTTGAGGGGTTTTTTTTTGTTTTTTTTTTCCTGGAGTGGTAAGGTTGAAAGCCTTGCCCTAGCTGGGTGGTTCAGCTGGTTAGAGCCCTGTCCTGATACCACATGGTTGCAGGTTGATCCCTGGTCAGGGCATTATACAAGAAGCAGCCAATGAGCACATAAGTAAGTGGAACAACAAAATTGATGTTTCTTTCTCTTTCTCTCCCCCTCTCTTCTCCCTCTCTCCCTCTCCCTACCTACCTTTCTCCCTCAAATCAATTTAAAAAAAGGAATGAAAATGTTGTTGCAGTGGATTCAAGAGAATGGAAAGGGAGGAACGAGTTAGTGAGTATGACATTCCAAGAATGAGGGTAGTTGGATAGAAATGTGGGGTCAGGAAAGATTTCTGTTTTGTTTTAAGGTGAGAGAGATTACTGTTGGGAACTGTCCTGCCTGGTTTCAGAAGCTGTAACCACCCCCATGGCTAAGGCTGAGTGAGAGACCTTGGGACCATAAGTCCCTAAGGAGACAAAGCTTATCTCCCTGGTAGGGGCACCACCTCTGCCCCCTTTTATTTCACCCTGCTTGGCCCCTGGCAGATGACTGGTTAGCCAATGATGGGTAGGATTCCTCAAGGGAGGGACAACCTAGGACAGACACGGTTATGAAGGGAGCCTCAGGGAAAGACTTGGGGAGCTATAGAAAAAGGGAATGATGGACCCTTGCCCCTCCACTTTGACATAGCTTGATTCTTCATTCTGTCTGCAAGAGGTCTCCTAATCTTTTGGCTGCCTTTACTTCCTGCCTTACTGGAGCCTGAAACAATGCAGGAGGACAGTGCAGCCCTGGGCAGGAATGGGCAGTTCCCTGGAGCAATCAGGCCTAAGAGAGAATGCATAAAATCCTGTGAAACCTGCTTTGCTAAGAATGTCCTCAATTTTATGATAAAGGTCCAAGCATGAAATGGGTTTGTTTCCCAAAGTTTTATGGCCCTTTAGCTAACTAACCCTGTCTCAGAATAAGCCCTCAGAGTTCTTTGAATATTATCTGTAAGAACTAATCAGCAACATCCTTTTCTTTGTTACCTGTAAAGAGTAACCACCTAAAGCAAACCTGAGCATAATAAATGAGAACCTTCTTTGATGTATGCTATTAGAAACCTATATAAGCCTATCCAGGCAAGGGTTGGGGCACTTTCTCACTCAGAGTGGCTGTGCTATCACTTTTTCTCTGTAAGACTTCTGCAGTCTGTGTGAATTTGTCGCATCCACAACACACAGACCCCGCTGGACAGAGTCTGCATTAGATTATAGCATATATATGCATGGAAATGATCCAATAGCAAGGGTTAAGTTGATTTTATAACAAAAAGGGGGAGAACTGCTGGAGTGATGTCTTGATCAAGTGTGAGGGGCTAGCACACTGTGCGTAAGAGGGAGAGATTGGCCAAAGGTAGGAGGAGCATGTTCAAATTCATATGTGGAGGGAAGGAGCATGCATTTAGATGAGATGGGGAAAACCTGTGGACAGTATCTATAGAATGCTTGTGTTTTCTCAGTGAATAGGACGTAAAGTCATTAGTCGACAGTGGGAAGGAGGAGGTTTGAAAAAGAGGAGTAGACATGAGATAGATAGAAGAGAGAGAAAAGTGAATGAACCAGGGAATATAGTTGGATTGCTGGGCGGCATTAAAGGCCTACTTCAGGTGAGCGATAGTGGTTATAAAGTGAGACATATTACCAGGTTGTATGTTTTTCTCCAGCTGTATTTAGTTCTGCTTGTACAAATGTATTAATAGGCAGAGAATTGGATTTAACCAGGGTGGGGATTTTGCCTGGTTAGGGTGACAAAGTCAGAGAGGGCCATGGGGTTTGAGGATGATGCAGAAGAGTGATCTTAGTAGCAGACTATGAAATCTGAGCCAGACTAGGAGGGATGAGAGAACTTGAAGGGATAGTGAAAAGATAGTTTCAGTAGATTGTGGATCCTAATAGAATTTAAATATTGTTGGAGTTAGGATGTTAAGGGTGATAGGTGAAGAGATAAGTGATTAAGATGTTTGAAGTTGGGATTATGAAGCATTTGCAGTATTGCTGAAGACAAAATCTAGGCCCTGGCTATGGAAGTCCAAGATGGGGCAGAGGATAAGACTGAGTATCAGAAGGTTTCACCAATATGGGTATTGGAAACACTAAGAATTGTGACAGGAATAGTCGTGTTGGAGAGAGAACAACATTGAACTTAGTGCTAAAAAACCCTTAGGGAACTGGAGGGATTTCTCTTTAAGAATCTATATGTGGTCTGATGGCAGTTTTGTTGTTTAAAGAGAGGGTGTGGCAATAGAATGCAAGTGGTAGTGAGTGAAATGCCAGGAAGCCCACCTCTAGGTCCCAGAGGGATATAGAAAAGAAATCAGCCACCACTTAAGAGGGCTTAAGAGGCAGCAGTGTTTAGAAAAAGAGCTGATGGTACAGAAATTTTGCTGGTGCCTGAATAATCTCCCGAGGCCCAGTCCAAGGGTTAGAGAGGGGAGGTCTGGTGAGGGAAGAACATGGCTCTGTGAGAGTAAGAGAATCCAGATGCTGAGAAATGCCTTTGTAATCATTGGCTTTTTGTAGTTACATACTAAAGAAGATAAAGGCATTAATAGAATTATTCCTTATACTCAGGAACTTACAGTGGATTTCTTAATTTATCATCTAAACTAGGACTTCCTTGAGAAGGGAGAGAAGGATTGCAAGAGAATTACAATTAAAATTATTATATTTTGAATTATTTACTGATTGGCAAATTATTCTGTTTTGATAGGTCCATAACATTTCTATTAAAAACTGCTTCAAAACACTTTTTCCTAAAAAACACTTATATTTATGAGATTAAAACATCTTTGTATGTGATTGTCTAAACATAACATAATCTAAACACTAACATAAGTAGAATAGTCATTCTTAGTACATATTTGTGTACTTGAATCATTTTTTTAAACCAGTCTCTAATATGGTGTTGCTGATATTTTTTTGAAAAATATATATTTTTTCAATATGGTCTTATTTTTATTTTTCTTAAAAAATTGGGTGCAGTCATCTTCAGAGTTTCATTTTATGGTTATTAAATTTGAAGTGAGGCCTTCAGTTAATTCTTTTCTTTAGGTCATAGTGTTTTTCAATAATAAAATACTGTCCCAGCCAGGGTACATGCCTGGGTTGCAGGCCATAACCCCCAGCAACCGCACATTGATGTTTCTTTCTATCTCTATCTCTATCTCTATCTCTATCTCTATCTCTATCTCCCTCCCTTCCCTCTCTAAAAATAAATAAATAAAATCTTTAAAAAAATAATAAAATACTGTTTAGGTTCTCATGTGCCTAATAAAGTCAGAGCAAATTCTATTAAATGGAAGAGTCTCAATTTTAAAAAAAATTATTTTAATTGAAATGTATACATATTTCAGCTTTAGTATTTTTTAGGTTTTGTCTTTTTATCTGCATTCAGAGTACCCTTTTTCCATAATAAGGTCTTCGGTATTTTTAAAGACAAAATTCATCAGGTAAGTTTTTCTATGATTTCTTTGAATGTGTCCCAAATTTTAGGCCTACTTAATTTTATTTCATTCTAGAGTAAAACATAAATTTATATTATTAGAAAGGAGTTCCATCAGAAGATGCTTCCTGCAAGTCAACATATTTCAAAGTGCAATTACAGAATTTCAAAATTAAATAATTCACTGTGTCAGCTTTTAATGCACAATTTGTTTAATTTTTATTTGCTTTTGTAGGGATAAATTTCAGTGTCTTCCTGTTCATAGTTTTGTTTTCAGTAATTGAATTTTACTAAAAGCTTCAAAGGCTTAACTTGAATGATCTGATTAAAGATTTCTGATTTTGAACAAAATGCAACTAAGATTTAAATGACTTATTTCCAATAATAATAATGTGATCATCATATGACACAGGTTTTATAAAGTCAAAGGCTCAAATATATTAAAGATGTAATTGATGGTAGGTGGCAGAGAAAACATCTGCAATGTTGAAGTATTTTTGTATATTTAATATTAGTTATAAAATTTTTGTTCTGGGTATAAATAAAATTATTTTAAAATTTGACAAGTATGGCTTCTGTTTTGACTAGTATGTTAATCACAGCTCATTTGGGCACAATTATGAATTACAATTACAATTCTGAGTACATTTGTATTTTATAGATTAGTAAGAACATTGCTTTTACAAATGTGCTTTATAAGTGTGTATTATCACTGTAAAAATTAAAAATTTTATCTTTAGCATTGAACTTTTCAAGTGTAGTAAGATAGAATTTGCAATGATGTCAGATGTTTCCCTTTCAACAGAATCAACTTACAGAAGCTGTACTTTGTTTCCATGAACTGAAGGGAAAGCTAAACTGTTATTGGAATTAATCTGACTGACTTTGTTTTGGACCTTTGATGACAATTGATGTAAAACCAGCATCATTAAACTATTTGAAAAGCTCTTTTACTAATGGAAGCAACACATTAACAGCTATCACTTTACTTTTCATACTTGTACTAGGAACTTTAGAATGAAAAGTGAACAAAATTAATTTAGAACAACTGTCATTTGTTTTAATGCTGTACTGTCCAATATAGTAGTTATTAGCCACTCATAGCTATTTAGCTTTAAATTGATTAAAATTATCTAAATTAAAAATGCAGTTCCTCAGTCCCACTAGGCACACTTCATTTGCTTAGTAGCCAGAGGTAGACCATTCCATCATCTCAGAAAGTTCTATTGAACAGCAAAGTCCTAATTGACAAGATGCACATTCACTCTGCAGCTGCAGAAGCATGGTTTTCAGGTAGTCTCAAGATAACTTCGGACTTACGAAGTAGATGCTGATGCTTCTTCAGGAGCTGTGTGTATGCGACTTTCCTATGGTTGTGTTGTCACTGTAGCCCCCATGGTAAATGTCAACTAAGATTTTGTTCACGTTACACTTTTATTACCAAGTGCTTGAGAAGAAATTTAGTATTTAATTTTTTATTAAACAGCTACTTTATGTATTTTGCTTCAGTTCATCACTACGGAAATATTTTTGGTTTTGCAAACATAAAAGCATAGCCAATAATAAAATTAATAAGTAGTTTTATTCCTATTGTAAATGACAAAAGCACTGTAGGAAGTATGTTCAGACTACTCTGAAAGCTCTTCAAAGGATAACTTAACAATTTACTTCTTACTTTTCTCATTAATTCCACTGTATTTCACTATTATTTCCCACTGGCCCCACGAACTGGCACCTGCAACTTTGTTCATCTCCCTTGGCTGATACACCAAATAGTTGGTAGGGACAGCAACATGAAATATCTCTCCCGTCTCCACTGTATACTGAAAGAAAGCACTTTCCCTAAGGGCCTATGTTTGACTTCACTTTGGTTTTTATGTGCTATCCTTGAGAGGAGGTGTTATGTTGGTTGCATCAAGAAAGGAATGGAAAGGGGGAGATGAGTTATCGCTGGTTGTCTTTCAGATTTACCTGTGTGTTAAAGTGAGAACTCTATTCATTGCACTTGGTACACAACTGAACATGGTTATGACAGAAGCTGGAAGTGCAAAGAAGAGGTCTGTCAAACCCAACCCATCCAATTTTGATGCAATTAATACTGATTGAGAATAAATACTGATGGCTGGATGCATGAAACAGGAATGTCCGGGTCCGACTGATATTTATGGTTCTATTTATTTCCTATGGAAGGGAACTGAAGCTCCTCACTCTGGCCTAAAGGTTATCCTAAACAGAATGATTGTAATCTACATTTTCTTTCTCAGTTTCCTGTTCTGTCTGCTTTAGCTAAACTCCCCCAAGCTTTACTCACCGTATATTTTGGTTTGTGTGTGTTTGAAACTGCTGTCTTCACCAATGTCAGTTTATCCTACTTGTCCTTTCACTCTCCAATGAAAATAACTGCCCTTCTGATTTTCCAAGTGGGAATTAATCTTTTTCTTCTGAACATCCACAGTCCTTTTTTTAAATTGCAATTTTTTAAAAAAGATTTTATTTATTTTTAGAGAGGGGAAGGGAGGGAGAAAAAGAGGGAAACATCGGTGTGTGGTTGCCTACTGGGGACCTGGCCCACAACCCAGGCATGTGCCCTGACTGGGAATCAAACCAGAGACTCTGGCTCATAGGCAAGCACTCAATCCTCTGAGCTACACCAGCCAGGGCCACAGTTCTTTTTATGGCTTCTCTTTGCCATTTTTCATGTTATTTGTATATTTCATTTGCTTTTGAATGTGTCTAGATAGGACATAAACCAGATGAATACAAGCACTTGAAAGACAAGATGTAAAGTAAGATTTGAGAGCTATATGTATCCATTTACATAATCAGCTTTGGATAATTGAGCTCTTGCATCCATTTATCCATTCAACAAACATTTATCAAAGTTTCTATATAATAGAGACTGATTTGTGTTAGAGACACAATGGTGAGCACGGGAGACCTGGTCCCTGCTGTTACAGAGATTACACACTCATCTTTCTTACATTATTACAAATAAGTAAAGACCTTTTTTGCTAGGGAGAAACTGAAGAGAACATTAAACTCACCTTTTTATTTTACAGCATAGGAGGTTAGCAGTCTTTGTTACTGAGGTTCAAGAATGTAAAATGGGAAAGCATATTTGATTTTATTTAAAAAAAACAACTAAGTACCATTTAAAAAGATAGGCCTGAAAACAGGGTGACTTTTTAATGAGTGTGTTTCCTTTATAGTTGTATTGTGACTTGTGGAAGTGATGGTGATGTGAGGATTTGGGAAGACTTGGATGATGATGATCCTAAGTCCATTAATGTTGGAGAAAAGGCATATTCATGTGCTTTGAAGGTACTAAAAACAATTAGAACAATTGATGTGAAATTGTACTGCCATGTGAATATTTTTTATGCTTAGCTGAAAAGTATTTTTTATAAATTATGAATAGATACAGCTTTTTATTTCTATTATGAAGTAATATTTTAAAATGTATAATAATGCCATCATTGCCCAAAAGTTTTACAGGTAAAATCTGAATGGTTTATTCAGGGTGATTAATGGATGTTAATGGTGAACCAGTTAAAGTATATGCAAGAAGATGTACCTTTTTTTTTTTTTTTTAAAGAAAGAGCTTTAAATCTTCCTTGTAATTTCTTTGTAGCACAACACAGTAGCATTTTCAGGTTTTGAGATGTAGGTTACTTGGAGAATGAAGACATGTTTTCAGAAGGACTTTGTAAACTAAGAATCTAAAAACCACTAAGCTTTTTGTTCGTGCAGAATTTTAAGTTGGGTGTATTGTATTGGGTAGGAAAAAATCTTTCTACAGAATTAATATTTTTTTTTAAAACTCAGGCTCATTCAGGTAGATGAGATAGTCTTTAGATACTTTAGATATTTTGTTTTTTAAAAGATTTCATTTATTTATTTTTAGACAGAGGGGAAGGGGAGGAGAAAAAGAGGGAAACATCAATGTGTGGTTGCCTCTCACACGCCCTCCCCTGGGGACCTGGTCCACAACCCAGACATGTCCCCTGACTGGGAATCGAACTGGAAACCCTTTGGTTCACAGGCTGGCACTTAGTCCACTAAGCCACACAAGCCAAGGCAAGATATTATTTTTTAAATTGTCATATACAGTGGAAAATACATTCCCAGAAGTATAAATGACTAACATACATTAAATTGAAGCTAAATCTCACTAATAAGCAAAGACGTGCAAATTAAACAGTTGGATTTTTCTTTCTATAAGATTGGCAAGAACAAAAAATATTATTAATCCCAGTAATAGTGAAGGCTTGGAGAAGTATTTGTAAAGGGAGAACACCCTCCTGTGTGTGTGTTTTAACTCTCACATTACTACCATACTCATAACAACTCTGACACCAGATGTGTTGATTTTTTCCCACATCAAGCAATTCTCTGCAATACCAGCTGGGTATCCTACAATTCAGTTCAATTCAATTTAATTCTGACATTAACTGGAGTTTGTGCAGACTCTGCATGTTAAGGGTTCAGTCACATAAAACTGTCCCCCACTTCAGATACCAATCACAAGTAGTAGGTCCCCAGATTACCTACAACTTCTGTTTAACTTCGCTATAAATTGCAGGTTCCTATGACCCCCTCCTTGGGTTCTGTCACTTGCTTCAGCAGTTCACAGAACTTAGGGAATCGTTTATCAGTTTATTATATGATAAGGGATACCGATGAACAAGCCAGATAAAGAGGTATATAGGGCAATGTCTGAGAAGGGCCTGAGTGCAGGGGCTTTTGTCCCTGTGGAGTTAGGGTGCACCAGCATCCTGGTATATGGATGTGTTCCCCAACCTGGGAGCTCCCTAAACCCCATACTATTGGGATTTTTATGGAGGCTTTATCACATGAGATGATTATTAACTCCATTTCCAGTTCCTTTTCACTTCTCCTAGTGTAGGGAGTGGGGCTGAATGTTCCAAGCTTCCAATATTGGTTTTATCTTTCTAGTGAACTAGCCATGATCCTGAGGCTATCCAGGAGCCCAGGAAGAGGGCCTCATTAGAACAAGAGACACTCCTGTTACCCAGGAAATTCCAAGGGATTTAGGAGCTCTGTGTCAGGAGTTAGCGTCAAGGACCAGATATTAGAACAAAAGATGTTTCCTGTGTTCTTATCACTTAGAAATTTACAACAGTTTTAGGAACTCTGCTCCAAAAACTGGGAGCAGAGATCAATACATATTTCTCAGTATTATACACAGTTGCTGGAATATTTTTTAAAGTAAATTGATATTACATATCAATATATATTAGAATGCACACTTTGCCTTCTCCATCTCTCTGTGTCTCAAATCTCTCTTTTTTCTTATAAGGAGATTCTATTTCCAAATAAAGTCATTCGCAGGTACCTGGGCTCAGAACTTAGAGATGTCTTTTGGGGGCCGTTATTCAGCCCACCGTAAGTACCATAGTCAGTGGTAAAATGTTTTCTTTGACTTTAGGAATGGAGTTTGTGGAACTTCATTGAAATGACATTACCAAATAGCCATGCAAAATTGATAGTTTTACAATATATTTTATTTAAAACATAATTGCTTGTAAACACATATTTTCTATTTTTGGATTCAATCATACAGCAAAGTACAATTAGATGCTTTATTTGAGAACAAAGTGGAGAAAATACCACTCTCCAATGTGAAACCAGGATGAATTGACATGTTTATGGGTAGTGATACTTAACGCTTGCATAGTATTTTACATTGTCAGGCCTTTTAACAAAGATACGGAGAGGTATGTGGAATTATCTTCATTTTAATCTTGGGGAAACCAAAGCTCAGAGGAAGGTGAAGTGACTTAGAAAGGAACACAGTGGGCTGGGGATGAGGCCGTCCTGTGCGGGGTTCCATTCCTCCAAACCCACCAGGGAGATGAGTGGGCTGACCAGTTCCTGGCCAGAGCCCTGATCCATTGGATGCTTTATTCTTTTAAAACTTTTATTAGTTGACAAAGTACTGATAGTATTTGGTTTCCTGGTAGATTTGTTGGAAAATGACTTCAAAGCAGGTATTTTTTTAATGCAGGTCTTCCAGGTAAATGAGTGTAGTTACATACTTTGATATGAATAGAGGGGCTAGTTAACATGTTACTAAAGAATTACCAAAATTCTTTGTTAGAGCTAAGGATGCTTAGTCAATATGCTGCTAGAAATCGTCTGCAAGAAAAACACAGCCAAGTTATAAAATTCCTGTAGATGTGCTCTTGTAAATAATTGGTATATCTGCAGTTTTGCCAAAGAACACTTAGCATCATCAGTGTTGTCTTGAATTGATTATAGTTTTTTTAATTCTCTTCTTGTTTTTACATTTAAATTGTTAGCTTTGCTCCAACCTTATGAATTTAGTTTATTGTGGATTGTTTAACTACTTACAGTAGTTACAACATAGACATAAATACTTCTTTTCACCAGTCTTGAAGTAATTGAACTTTATAAATGTATATTACAGTTCAAGTTTGAATCATCTGTACTGTTATTCAACAGATGTATGCATTCTCACATATTTTGCTGTTTGGTAACATGTCATTGTTAACATCAAGTTCTCACTCACTGGAGCAGCAGCAGAGGCTATAGGTAGACTAAGGGTCCTAAATATGCAAAATGTGCAAATGTAGCTGAGACCTGTCACTGTATGATAGAGTATATTCGTTAACAAACTTGAATCATTTGTTTCTCTTGGCGGTTATCATTTAATCTAAGTTAATAAATTGACCATATTATTTATCGAAGCTTCTATGTGGATGCTAGGCTATGCTTTAGTATGTTGGGACTTACTCTCTTTTGGAAAAGTAATAAAGTACTGAGCCAGATCCTTGGTCTTTTATGATTTGTAGCTAAAAGCTCTGCAAAGCAGTGGTATCTACTGATCATTTTCAGAACCTGAAACTTTCTATTTATTTAGTACAGTTAAGAAGGTGCTGTGGATTCTGCATTTGGATTTTATTCTATTCCAGACAGGACATGTAATATCATGATTTTGTTGTGGAAACTATAGTGTCCATTGTGGCCGTGCCTTCTGATGTGCTTGTTCCTCACTAAGACTAGCTATGTTTTCTCTAAAAAGGTCTCCTGTGTCTCTTTTTTAGTGACACTTATAAATTCTAAAAATACTAATTAAATTTTTTTCTTAACCAGAAGTAAAAGAAAAACCAGAGGTTAAATGTTTGGTTGGTAAAGGGGCAATTAAGTTTTCTAAAGGTAGCAAATAGAACTTTCTTGCTAGTATACATTTCAGGAGAGTTGAACATTGGTAATTTTTCTCTTCACATGAATTATATGTATAAGGGTTTTTTTTTTTTGTTTGTTTTTAAGGACTTTTGCTTATGGAGAGATTCCCAGTCAGTCAATTTAGATTTCTTTTGCCAATATTGCTTACCCGTATTTTCCTTTTAGAGTGGAAAGTTGGTCACTGCAGTATCCAACAATACTATTCAAGTCCATACATTTCCTGAAGGAGATCCAGATGGTATATTGACACGCTTCACTACGAATGCAAACCATGTGGTCTTTAATAGTGATGGTACAAAAATTGCTGCTGGGTCTGGGTAAGGCTCTTTGATATCAGAAAGGAAATAATGTTAGAGCAGAATGGCCTCATTCATTGCTTTCAGGGTAACATTTTTAGGACTCTCTTCTTTTTTGTGCACTTAATTTTTATATTAAAATCTTTAGTAAAGGTTTTTGAGGACAGACTTGTGTCTCTTGTAAATTGAGATGTGTGTATTGCTTTGCAGACAGTCTATTAGTAAATGATGGGAAAGATTGGGGAAGATGATAGTTTGGTACAAAATTTAAAAAATTATTTTAGGTAGAACTGGGCCTGTACAGTCAATATTTTTATACTTTTCCTTGATGTTTGTTTGTCATAGGAAAAAGTAATTGGTGGGTGGCTGAGGTGGAGTAAAAGATAAAGCTCTTTTAAAAATGGTGTGACTGTAATTTGATTAGCAAATCATAGAAGCCTAAAATGTAACTGTGGAAGCCACTTAGGAAATATTTATATTTTAACATAATTAGAAATCTTGACTTGTGTTCTTGGCATCTTTATAGAGCAAAACTAAAAGATTAGTCATTAAACTTGGCTGTCAAATTTTACAAATTGCTGTAAAGAAATTATGGCATTCTTGTGACTTTGAAATATTTGGGTCATAGCATTTAGAAGAGTCTTTTGTATTGACATGTATTCATATGCATCACTTTTATTGTTCACAGTGACTTTCTAGTCAAAGTTGTAGATGTGATGGATTGCAGCCAGCAGAAAACATTTCGAGGACATGAAGCCCCTGTGTTAAGTCTTTCCTTTGATCCTAAGGACGTCTTTCTGGTAATAACTTTTCCCCCTCTCTTTTTGCATTTTTCTTGATTATGTTTAAAATTGTAAGTCGAGAATTAGCAGGAAATTTTACAGTTGTTAAGAAGATACTTTGACTTATTAGTTGAACCAGTTTCCATGTAATATTATGGCTGTAACTCCTATATTGTTTTACTCCTGCAGGCATCAGCTAGTTGTGATGGATCTGTCAGAGTGTGGCAAATTTCAGATCAGGTAAACTCATTCATTGAATTTAAAGCTTTTTGTCTATTTCCATAATATAATATATGGGTATTACACATTATTTGGTCAAATTTGTAATTCTTTTTCTTTATTGTTTCTTTTGAGTAGCATTAAAAACTGTTTTTGTGATCAACTTCCATAATAGTCTAATGTAAAAGTAAGTATGTTGAAGACTAACTGTTTTTTGTACACAGTTACAAGGGAAATGATAGATATATATTTCATTTTTAGGTATTATAAAATCAGTGGGGGAAATTCAGCCATTATATTTACAAATTAATTGCCATCTGTTGGACCCTAGATGTTGGGAATACAAAAATAAAATAAAGCGTGGGTCACACTTAATTTGGAGAGTCACATACCAACTCTTCTAACCCAGCCTGATAAAAGTTTCTTCTTTTCTTTTCGTTTTAAATTGTTGCTTGTATTTGTTTGTTTTGTTTGTTCTTCTATGAAAGTTTTAAAGGAAGTATGAACAAAGTGCTCTCCAGATTGGCAGAAGATACAATGAGTCCTTCTCCAGGCAATCAGAGAGGCCTTGGTGTTTGTAGAGATGTGGCAGATGAGAAAAATATCCCCCCAGATGTGCTTCAATAGCCACACTTTCTCCCCGCTCCTTCTTGAACTATTTAGTAGGGTGGACTTTGACACCATAACATTTTATAGTAGGTCTCTGAAGTTTATTTTTGTGGAGACTTCAAGATTTTAATACTGTTTTCTGTGTGTGTATGGCTGTATGTTTATTCAATGAGTATAATGTTTATGTACTCTACATAGGTTCCTTACTCTGCATAGGAAATTTTTTTTTAATTTAATTATTTAAGACTTATGGTCTTTATTCCTCTGAAGGACTTAAAGTAATTTAGATAAATCAAACCTTATTGTAACTAAATTAAAGTGAATTAAGTTGCCTTTTTCGGAGCTATATATCAATTTTAAGGAATCCACCTATTAAATATATTCAGTTCTGTCTATCTTTTGGGGAGAATTTTTATAAAGGGAAATATTTTTTTTTTAATCAGACATGTGCTATTAGTTGGCCACTGCTACAAAAGTCCAATGATGTGATAAATGCAAAATCAATCTGCAGACTTGCTTGGCAGCCAAAAAGTGGGAAGGTAAGTGACTTATTTTTCAACCTTTTAAAAAATTATTTGTTTCAGTTCTTATCAAGTTTGAATGTAAGAATAATTTTTAAATTGTAACTATTTTATTTGCATTATAAATTTTTGAGCCCCAGGCCAACTAATTAATATTGAAATGCTTTAAGAAACAGTTCAGCTTTTTAAAGAATCTTTTTTATAGAGTACATTTTGCATGATTGAATTTAATATTCTTCTTTAGATTTGTGTTTGTTGGAGTGACTCTGGAAATAGTCTTGTTATGTCCACTCTTACCACCAGTATTTAACATTTTGGAGTTGTACTAGCAGATATAGTTAGACACTAGAAAGGTATGAGAGGTTTGGTTGGAGGAGGGAGAATTCTTGTCTGCAAACGAAATACTTGTATTTAAGGAAATTCTAAGAAAATGAACTGAGGGAAAATATTAATAAAAAAAGAAACTTGTGAAAGGTAGCTGTAAGCAAAATTAATATTCAAAACCAATAACAATCCTGTGTACAAACAACAGCCATTTAGAAAATACAGTAGGATAAAATAACTAGGGATAACTTAGTAAGAAATATGAAAGATCTTCAGGGGACAATGGGAAGGGTTCACGGGAACAAATTTAAAGGACACATGGACAAAAACTAGGGGGAGGGTGGTAATAGGAGGGAAGTGGGGAGGGTTGGGAGGCTGGGCTGGATTGGGAGTAAAAGGGAGAAAACTGTACTTGAACAATGATTAAAATAAAATTAAAAAAAATATGAAAGATCGTTATAAAGAGAACTTTAACATGCTAGCAAGAGGAGTTAAAGACTTGTTAAATAGAAAAACATATCCCATTCTTAGAAAGGAAATTTTGAATATAAAAAAAGATTTAATTCCTTCCTAAATTATTCTGTAGTTTGGAAAACATTCAGGTATAAAATATCAGTTAGATGTTTGGGGGAATCAGATAATGCTGATTCTAAAGTCCATATGGGAAACTGAAGTCTTAAAAAAAAAGTGATCGAGTCTAGCCCAGTGAGGTACAACAAATGATGATGCTGTGGGAATTAAAAGTTTGCTACTGACTCACAAATAGGCAGCCTATTAAACAGAAATGGATTCAATATATATGGGAGTTTGGTGTATAGTAAAGGTGGAGAAAAGGAGATTTAGTAACTGTTGACAAAGGGCATGAATACCAGTAAGTGAGAATCATTGAGCACCATCTTGGAGGCTTCCTACCGTATGGTGAATTGGCTATATTCTTTCAACTTTTCTGTATGTGTGAAATTGAAGAAGATTAATAAATTTAACATGAAAAGTAAATATTTTTATGTGATTAAAAATATTTCAGAGTCAAAGGACAAGTTTGGAACAATATGACAAAGAGCTGAGGTCAATGATATACAGAGTTCTTACAAAACAATAGGATCCCATTAGAAAGATGGGGGAACACCCCATGAGATTTATGAATTGCTTAATAACGCTAATTAGGTCTTCATTCAAAACAGGGGAAAGATTGGACAAGGACATGACCAGATAGTATATAGAAGAAGAAATACAGATGGCTTTTAACATGTGAAAATATATGCAGCCTTTCATACTGAAAAATACAAATTGAAGCTTTAGTGATAGTCTATTTTTCATTAATCAGATGGTCAGAAATCAAAAGTTTGATTATATGCTATGTGGATGAGGGTGTGTTGTTTTTGTCAGAATTAAAGACCAACAGTACCACTTCTAGGCTCATGTTTTATAAACATATTTATGCATATACACTATAGGGTACTATAACAAAAATGTTGCACTATTGTTTGTAGTAGCAAAAGTTTGGAAACATCCAAAATGTTCATTAATAGGGAATTAGTTAAATAAATTGTAGTATTCCTGAAAGTGAAATACTCTACAACTGTTAGAATATGATGTATCTGTATATCCTCACATGGAATAATCTCCAGGGAAATTAAGTAAAAAACATCAAGCTATAGCATAATAATAGGTATATAAAAATGCTGCTATTTATCAATTGGGTATATGCATACTTGTACATATGTACATATACATTCTCATATGGCCTATGCTTATATTTGCCTTTGGGAAGTAGAAACAGAATTTAGGTATGGGAGGGAGACTTGCTTTTCAATGCATTCCCTTTTGTGTCATGTGAACTTTTAAAAGTGTACAGTCTGTGTTAAAGTAATAAGTAGTTGTGGAATCCAGTATGTATTTTTTTTGCTTACAAAACATTAATTAATCTGATAAATTTTTTAATGATTTTATTTACTTTTTAAATGTTATTTATTTATTTTTAAACCATCAGTATTTTTTTAAGGATTTTAATTTATTTTATTTTTTAGACAGAGGAGAAGGGAGGGAGACAGAGGGGTAGAGAAACAACAATGTGTGGTTGCCTCTCATGTGTCCCCTACTGGGGAACTTGTCTGCATCCCATGCATGTGCCCTGACTGGGAATTGAACCAACAGTCCTTTGGTTCGTAGGCCAGCACTCAAGCCACTGAGCCACACCAGCCAGGGCTTATTTACTTTTTAAAAGATTTTATTTATTTATTTCTAGAGAGAGGGAAAGGGAAGGAAAAAGAGAGAGAGAAACATCAATGTGTGGTTGTGGTTGCCTCTTATGTGCCCTCTACTGGGGACCTGGCCTGCAACCCAGCCATATGCTCTGATTGGGAACTTAACTGGCAGCTCTTTGGTTTGCAGGCCAGCATTCAGTCCACAGAAACACACCAGCCACGGCTGTTTAAATTTTTTTAAAAATGTTACTTATTTTTAATCCTTATTTGAGGACTTTTTTTCCATTGCTTTTAGAGAGAGGAGAGAGAAGCAAACATCGATCTGAGAACTTTAGTCAATTTGCCTTCTCATACACACTCTGACTTGGGATCGAACCCACAACCTGCGTATATGCCCTGACTGGGAAACAAATCTGTTACCTTTTGGTGTATAGAATAAAACTCCAACTAACTGAGCCACACTAGCCAGGGCTGATTAATTTGGTTAATTTAAAAATTAATAAAATTAACATAGTTTTCCTGTTTATAAATAATAGTTTAACATGGAAAGAATGTATCATTTTAACTTTTTCTACTAGTCTGTTTCTTTGGAAGAATGGATAGGAGGATAAATTTCTGTAGTATTTTCAAAGTATTGTGGCTTCGATTCTTCTTTTCCAGTGAATGAGATGAATTTTTGGATTCAGAGGGCTTAGATACCTTAAAAGTAGTATTAAAAATACTAGTGACTACAGGGACTCTGTTTTTCAATGCAAGCAATAGAGTGACCATCAACTGTTTATTGCTTATCAAAATTTTAAGTAATTTTCTGAGTTTTGTTAGATGCCAATTAAAATATAAATTTGCTTTTATGTTTTGTAAGCTTATTTGGATGAATTTTCTGCCTTTTTTTCTCTTCAAATTTAATGTAAACTTTTCTTCAAACTGTGTTTTATCTTTTCTAATAGTTACTAGCAGTTCCTGTGGAAAAATTGGTTAAGCTATATAGAAGAGAAACTTGGGGTAATCAGTTTGATCTTTCAGATAATTCCATCTCTCAGGTAGGTTTTGTAAGTGACGCTTTCATTAGGCTAAAGGGAATATTTAATGTGTACTTTGCCTAAATATACTTGCAGTTAAATATTGATAGAAATGGAGGACAGCTCTAGACTGTTATGCGTGTGTCCACCTTCTGCCTCTTAGTCTTCTTTTAGCCAATAACTGGACAATAGGTAGGACTTTGCTAGGTCCTGTTTGACCTTTCTTCTTTGTGAAATTTGATAAGAAAATCTTTTAATTTATAAGAAGTCAAATTGAACTGTAGCATAGTATTAGAACAAGTTGTTCTCACATTTTCAGTAATTGACCTTTATTTTTAGATGAGTTTTACTAAGTCTTGTAATCATAGACTCTGGAATTTTAGATCTGGAAAGGTGGTTGTATTCCGCCCCCCCACCCCTCTCTTTCGTTTCTCTTTCATATATACCTGTTTTGTAGTTAAGGAAACAGAGGCCCAGTAACTGAGCAGTGGTTTAATAAGATTCACTTATTAGTTCTCTCCATGGTGATGGTGACTGCTAAGAGGAAATCTTGTATTTATCTCTCTTTCCAGGATAATAATTTTTTTTTTATATTTTGCTTTAAAACTTGTGCCGGTATAATTTTCGCATGATAAATTCATAGCTGCTAGTGAGAGGTGAAAATGATTGAAAAAGAAGTAAGCAAACTTTTTTTCCCATTTGTGTATCAGATCTAATTAGAAGTTATACAGAATATATCAAATAAGGGTTATTAAAATTTGAATTTGGTAAGGTGAGTGTTTAGTTTCAAATAATACAAAATTATTTATTGCTTTTCTTTATAGACCCTCAATATAGTTACCTGGTCTCCTTGTGGGCAATATTTAGCTGCAGGGAGTATTGATGGTTTGATTATAGTTTGGAATGTGGAAACTAAAGATTGCATGGAAAGGTATGATACGATATCTATTTTGTCTCTTGTTTATTTCAAATAAACTTTTCTTTGTTCTATGAAATATTTCAAATTTGTAATTATTAGATTGTCAAAATGCAAACAAAAACCTGTTAGTGTGTCAAAAGTCATTTACCATTTGTTGATTGATTTATTTGACTTTCATTTTTTTAATTTTATTTTTTAATTACAGTTGACATTCAGTATTACTTTATATTAATTTCTGGTTTATACCATAGTGGTTAAATAATTATATAATATACAAAGTGATCCCCCGATAATTCAGGTATTGATCTGGTACCATATGTATTTATTACATTTAACCTTTTCTACTTATAATATGTATAGTTTATGTTTTTCTTGACAGTGTTTTAGGAACTTACTTTTTATTTTTAGGGTAAAACATGAGAAAGGTTATGCAATTTGTGGCCTGGCCTGGCATCCTACTTGTGGTCGAATAGCATATACTGATGCAGAAGGAAATCTCGGGCTCCTGGAGAATGTCTGTAACCCCGATGGAAAGACCCCGAGCAGTAAGGTAATAAGTAATATCGTAGAACAGTTTCTTCAAAGTCCTTCTGTGGTTATATAGATTTTGAAAGCACAACAACCTACGTTATTATCTTGGAAAATTAAAATTTATGTGACTATTTTTAGTAATGATCCTATAGTAAAGAAAATTGGTTAATCTGATGTTTCCCAAATGTATTTTACTAAGAAACTATTTTTCCTCCATATAATGCTTATTAATATTCCTTGAATGTCCAAGGAATACCTTTGTGAAATACTGGTTTTCTAGTTCGTTGTTCTGGGGATTGTTACTTAAATACAGGCATACCTCAGACATATTGTGGGTTCAATTCCAGGCCACTGCAAAAAAGCGAGTATCATGTAAAGCAAGTCACAAATTTTTTGGTTCCCCAGTGCATGTTAAAATTGTATATATACTATACTGTAGTTTATTAAGTGTGCAATAGCATTAAGTCTAAGAAAACAATGTGCATACCTCACTTAAAAATTCTTTATTACTAAAAAATGTTAACCATCTTCTGAGCCTTCAGTGCATTGTAATGTTTTTCCTGATGGAGGGTCTTTACCTTCAATTTGTAAAAAATGTAATATCTGTAAAGCACAATAAAATGAAATATGCCTATAAATGTTTTATAGCTAAAGATTAAAGTTCATTGTAACTTAGTTTTGGCGGATAAACTTTTTTTGCTCTGAATTAGCTTTAACTCTTACAGCTACTCATATATCTCTATGCTTAGCCATGTAACCTTACTAAGGCTTGCTTTAAATAGTCTACTCAAGAAAAAAGTAAACAAAGATGAGACCAAAAAGAGAAAGATAAAAAAACACTCCACCTTTTTTTATACCTCCTTGTTTTTGTTCATTATTCTCCCTACCTGGCAAATACACCCATTTACTTTTTAAGTCTTGGTTTAAACTCTCAGTTAAAGTTGCAGACTTCATACATGCTTTTATTTCTGTCCAGATACCTGGTATGTGAAACCCCTACTAAAACTATATTAAAGGAATTTTAATTTTTAAAATTTTATTTATTTACTTTTTCAGAGATGGGAAGGGAGGGAGGAAGAAAGAAAGGGAGAGAAACATTGATGGGAGAGAGAAACATTGATCAGTTGCCTTCCACAAACAACTGGGGACTGAACCCATAATCCAGGCATGTGCCTTGCCAGGGAACTGAACCAGTGACCCTTCTGCTTTGTGAAATGATGCCCAACCAACTGAGCCATTACTGGTCAGGCCTAAAGGAATTTTTTAAAAATGCACAATCCCATAAGGCCAAAGAAAACAGTTGAAGTACTGATAATAATAATATTTTGGAGGTTGGAAAATAGAAGATGATTGGAAACTAACTTGACCTTTTCAGAAAGTTGAACTCGACGACCTCAATGGAGAAAAACTGAGGTACAGTTCAGCTTGCCTGGCTGACACCCCAACGATTCAGAATTTGATAGCATTAGGTACTTCTAAAAGTAGGTTGAAAACAGGAGGGTTGTTTTCTAAAGCAAGTAGATCTCTCCAGTGTCAACATTGGTGTGCACAGCTAGGTAACTCTCCTTCCTCACCCCCAGACACATTCTGGTAGAATGTTGGAGATTTATTCTTTAGTAAAGGTAACATAGAGGTGTTTGGTCCAGGCACACTTTATAGTTTACTGGCATTAGGTGAAGGGAAAATACTGTACTGAAAAGGATTAAATAAAACTGTGTATGCTTAAGTGTTGAAATACCCAGTTCACTTTTTATACTTTGCTCCCAGAGAGATGTTGGCCAGTCTTACATGCTTTTCAGGCTGAAGATTGGAAGAATCATGTTAGGGGAATTTGTTTAGGAAAAAAAGACCTAAAGAGAGAATAGAAGATTCTTAACTCCAGGAAAAACAAAAAGTTGTAAAAGAAAGAAAACACGATCATAAAATAATATACTATTATCTATAAAATAGGTAGGAAGGAATAATGCAACATCTAGAGTTATTGTGAGGATTTAATAAATTATGTATAAAGAATTAGAGATCAAAAAAGTGTGATCAGGAAAAATTCATAAGAATTTTGTGGTTAGAAGGTCACAACAGTTCCTAGAAAGTAGAGTGGTCTAGGGAAGCTTCTTTAATGGAATTAAGGAAACATTGCCTCAGTAAAAGATCTGATTAATCTGATATCCTCTCTCAATAAATTTGTATTAACATCATTCTTCAAACATCAGAAACTTAGAATCACACACCCTGCAAGACATTCAGAAATACTTCACCAGGTGAGTATGACAGTGAAGAAGTTTGAGAGCCTGCTGAGGTGGCTAACCTGATAGGACCATGTAAGTGGTCCAGAGACCTAAAGATAGCATTGGTGTAAAGAAGACATTGTGAAGCTACAAGAATGCATGGAGAATAACCTTACACCCAATGTCAACCCAGTCACAGATGTGCTCAAAAAAAGTAGCTTTTAAAGATTTTTCTGGAAAAATGGACACATTCAAATGGTTACAAATTTTTAATAACTTGAGATACATTTGTGCTTTGAAAGAGTTAGTCCTGGAAGCTAAAGAATGTGTTGAAAATTCCTACAAAAGCAAAAAAAAACCTCAAGAAACATCCCAACTGCATAAGAAGTTTAAGAAGCCCATGGCTGGTTACCTCCACTTCAAGGAGAAGTGGCTCCTATTCTCCCAAATGCACCCCAAACTCAGGAACCAGGAGCTGACCAAGGTCCTGTCTGAGAAATACAAGGAGCTCCTAGAGCAGGTGAAGCTGAAATAGATTCAAGATTTCTAGAAGAAACTGGAGTTTGAGGAGAAAGTGGCTTTACTTAGGAAGGACTACCCTGGTATAGTCCAAAACTCCAAGAAATCTCTGGTCCCCAAAAAGAACCCAACCAGAGCCCAAAAGAAGTTTTAGGAGAATATAAAAGTGAAGTTCCCCCCGCCCCGTCCCTGAAAACTGTTTTTCTGAGAAGATAAAATTCCATGGAGAGCCCTGACTGGGTGGCTCAGCTGGTTGGATCATTGTCCTATACACCAAAAGGCCGCGGGATTGATACCCAGTCGGGATGTATGGGAGGCAACCAGTTGATGTTTTTCTCTCATTTTTCTCTCTCTAAGATACATGTATACATATATCCTATATATCTTATCATATATATATACACACACACACACATATATTATCTCTCTCTCCCCTTCTCTCTCTAAAATCAATAAATACATATCCTTGGGTGAGGATTAAAAAAAGTAATTTCCTGAAGAGACCACAAAGCCCCCAGTGAAGGAATACCAGGAGTTTTACCAGGATTTGTGGTCGAGTAGGGAGCTGTGAGACCTGGCCCTGAGGGAATGAATGGTGGAGATCAGTTGACACTGGCAGCACATCCTGCAAAGTCATAAGGAGCATTATAAGAAGCAGGCTGAGGAGCTGCAGAAACAGTACAAGGAAGACCTGCAATCACTGGCTCAAGAGTGCAGCTCCTGAGGAATACTCTGCTTACAGAGAGAACTTATACTAAGTGAAGAACATGAGCATGAGTGGAGCCTGAGACGCCAAGATCATTAGAACTAACGTGCGGTCTCCATCAGCAAGGACTGTGCAAGGCTGCAGGCTCCAGAGACAGAATCATCAGACTATTGGGGCCGTTCTCATGACTCACAGGAGAAGAAAATGAGGAAGATGCGGAAAAGGCAGTAGCTCCTCAGACTCCAGTGGTGGCAGTGAAGATGGAGAATGTGAGGGCAGCAGCTGCAGTTCATCTCCTTCAGGGGAAGCTTCTGACTCAAACTTTAGCCGAGCTTTGTTCATTCCCCAAATGATGGGACATAATTTCCCACCGAAAGTCTTTGGCATTGACGTTATATTAAAAGGCTCTTCTCCCTGTCCCTTTTCATTTTCTTCCTTCTTTCCTTCCTTCCTCAAAAGAAAATAGGACTTGTTGGAAAGAAGAGATCTTTGTAGGATCTTCTGGCTCTGCTTTATACCCCAGTGCCACCTCCCTCCAGAGAAACTCCATGCAATTAAGTCTCTTAGAATAAACAATGATGTGAGTGGGTTGTGGAGGGCATACTGGACTGGACACTGGGTTTTCTGAGGTTAGAAGTTTTACTCCTCATCTTTTGCCTGCCTGAAGTAGTAGGGACACCCGTGAGCCAATGACCCGTACTTTGTGAAACTATCTCTCAGGACTCTTGCATTGGAACTAGGAAGGAGAAGATTTGATTGATTGGAGATAGGGTAGTTGCCTTGAAAAAAATTGTTGGGGTTTTTACTGTAGTTGCTATTATGGACAAAATAATTAGGTTAATTTTAAAAAATCAAAAAAGGAATTAGAAGAGTCTAACACAATACTTTGTAAGTGTTGCTCTTATATCTATTCAGCCATGAATAGCATTTACATGGTTGTAATAATATAAATACTATATATTGATCCAACCAAAATGAGAATATATCTCTATTGGGAAGATTAGGGTAGGAGAATAGTATGCATGTATACAAGGGGGTAGAGGTGGTTGGAAAATGCACCAAACCTTTATCTTTCCTAATAGAAGGCTGTTAGGATCTGTTATGTAAATAGCAATTAAAACTGAAAAAGTAGCACTGCAATATTATTTACAAGTATGGAGGAAGGTATCAAAAGAAACAACTAAGAGCAGAGGCTCTGCAGAGGACTATTTCCATTTTTATAATGCTGTTTGACTAATTTATGTTCATGTTACAACATTGATAAAAGACAAAAAGTAAATTGAGAAATAATTTTTAGTTCAGTGGTTACCCATTCAGGATTGCTCACTTTTCCCATTTTTCTTTTACTCTTCATAGTATATATTTCTCTCACAAAAACTCTTAACACTTTACGGCCCTCACCATAAATGTAAGGCAAAACCCTCATTTTCTAAATAAGAAAATCACTTCCCCAAATTTTTAAAAAAGATTTTATTAATTTCTAGAGAGGGGAAGGGAGGGAGAAAGAGGGAGAGAAACAGCAGTGTGTGGTTACCTCTTGTGTGCCCCCCATTGGAGTCCTGGCCTGCAACCCAGGCATGTGCCCTGACTGGGAATCAAACCTGTGACCCTTTGGTTGGCAGGCAGGCACTCAATCCACTGAACCACACCAGCAAGGGCCCCTCAAATTTTTAAAAAAATTTTATTTATTTACTTTTAGAGAGGTGAAGGAAGGCAGAAAAAGAGGGAGAGAAACATCAGTGTGCAAGAGCTCATGCCCCCCAACCTGGGGACCTGGCCTGTAACCTAGGCATTTGCCCTGACTGGGAATTGAACTGGCGACCTTTTGATTTACAGTCTGAGCCACACCAGCCAGGGCCAAAAAATTTTTTAAATTGTATTAATTATTGATGATGCTCCAACATGGTCTATAGCTGTCCACTGGGTGTGCAGGCTTTGGGGTTTCCCTGGTGGTACAGGCCAAAGTCAGCCCCCACCTGTGTTTTTCCTGGGTAACCTTACCTGGGCTATAAAGTAATCTGAGGTGGTTGCTACTTGTGCTGGGCTTGGAGATTTCCAGGCAAAGCCAAACTGAATCTAGGCTGGCTACTGCTAGTGCCAGGCCTGGGGCCACTTAGCAAGAGGTACAGGGGCTGCAGGCTCCCTGAGGTCTGCTGTTGCTTGTTTGAGAGGATTTAGGAAGTTGTGAAGCATGAGCCAAGATCAGCCATTCCTATGGAAAAGTCTCTGTCAATAGCTTGGGTGGGTTGGTAAGTTGGGAGGGATACAAGTTGGGTGGGACAGAGTCTCAGGGAATCTCCAGGGCTGGGCACATAGTGTTAGCCAGGTTGATGGAATCTCAGATGTGGCACCTCCCTATGTGTTCTGTGGCTCTGTGGGGGAGGGTTCAGAAAAGGGACAATGGCCTTTCTGTCTAGGAGAAAGCTGTCCCCCAGCTTCCTCCTTGGTGCCAGATCCTTCACTTCCTTCCTGTATGCCACTGATGCCTTTCAAACTGCACAATGGTGCTTGAGCTCAGAGGGAGTGAGTCTGAGTAGGTGAGTCCATACGTGGGTTCTTTAAGAGGAACTGCTTGGGACTGTAGAAGTTTCTTCCACCGACTTACTTTGTTCCAAATGAAAGTAAATGAGAGAATCTCTGGGGAATGACTTTTGAGGAATAACATCTTCCCTTAAATTTCGGTACATACAGTATTTCTTTACAAACAGTCCTACACTCCTGCCCTATTGGTCAGTCGTAAGGCATTTAAAGTAAGGACTAAGTCTTATATAAATGTAATCCTCATAAATACACTTATTATTTTTATCAGGACATTTGCTTAGTAGAGTTCAAGGTGCATATTAAAAGATTGCTTTTTGAGTAATTGAGTTTATCAAAATAGTTCACTAGTACTTTCTAATTTATATTTATTTAAGGTATCTAGCAGAGTGGAAAAGGATTACAATGATCTTTTTGATGGAGATGATACAAGTAATGCTGTTGATCTAAATGACGATCCAGGTGAAGGCCCTTCTTTTTCAAGAGGAATTATGAATGATGATGAGGATGATGACATCATGCTGGCTTCAGGTCGTCCAAGACAGCGAAGCCACTTCCTAGAAGATGATGAAAACTCAGTTGGTATGAATTGACTTGTGGATGTGACGATCCGTCCTAAAAATTTTCAATTTTTTATTACAACTGTTATTTAAAAATCATTATTGATTTTGTTGAATGTAGCTAAAGCACTCTGTAGAGGGAAATTAATGGCACTAAATACTTATATTTGAAAAGGTTTCAGATCAACAAGTTTAGCAAACTAGAAAAAGAAGAAGTTAACCCCAAGCAAGAAGAAAAAAAGAAATAAAAAGCAGGTTTAGGTGAGATTGACAATAATAAGTATTTTTTGCTATTCCTAATGCACTCTTGTGCATAATGCACACCCACGTTTTTGGCCCAAACTTTCAGAGAAAAAAATCTTTTGTTTTAATTTTTTAATTCAATTATCTATTTATATTTAGAAGCACAATCAATTATTGTATTCCAGGGTATTGTTTTGCATACAGACATTACTGCTTTCTAGAATTATACTTTTAATGCTTAAGCATAAATAAAAGAATTTAAAACATTTATATAGATACATAATTAGGGCTGCCTATGTGTAATGCATGTCCTTATTTTTCCCTCAAAAATTTGGGCAAAAAAGTGTACATTATACACAGCAAAGTACGGTATTTAAAAAGCCAATGAAACGAAAAGCTATTTCTTTGAAAAGATCAGTAAAATTAATAAATCTCTATCCTGACTGATCAAGAAAGAAAAACATAAATGACTGACATAAGTAAGGAAGAAGGGTCATCACCATAGATCCTGTAGATCTACATTATTCTATGTGGTAGCCACTAGCCACATGTGGTTATTAAACACTTGAAATGTGGCTAGTTCAACTTAAGAAATGATGTTAAGTGTGTGATGCAACCAGGTTTTCAAGAATAGTACAAAAATAGTAATGTAAAATATCTTAGTCATTTTTTACATTAAGCACATGATGAAATTATATTTTAAATGCAGTATAATATTAAAATTAATTATTCCTGGTTTTACTTTATAAAATGTGGATACTAGAAAATTTAAAATTACATATGTAGCCCATGTTATGTTTCTGTAAGACAGTACTGCTATAAATATTAAAGGGACAATAGAATATTATGAGCAACTTTGTGCCCATTAATTCAACAACTTAGATGATATTGACAAATTCTCTGAAAAATACAAACTCCCTAGCTAACTCAGGAAGAAATAGATAACTTGAATGGTACTGTATCTGTTAAAGAAATTGAGATTGTATATAAAAATCTTCAAATAAAGTATCTATCGCAACAACTAATATAATACATTTGAATGTTAACAAGTAAAATGTCAAATGGCAGTAAATTGTGCTGCATTTAAATCATATTGGGTTTATACAATAGTAATCTTTAATGATTTAGTCTTAGGAGTTCATTATACTGCTATATATTGTTTTTGTTGGAAGTATATGAAGAAAAATCAGCCCCACACAAATAGGTAGTTTGAAAAGGAAGAAGTATTTTAATTATTCACATAATTGTGGATATTCTCTGCTACTACACCAAAAAACTCAACATGTGGAAGTTTTTTAAATATTACTTGTGTGCTTGCTTTGGCAGCACATATGCTAAAATTAAATATTACTTGCAATGTGGAATCTGAAAACTTCTCAATGAACTTTTCAACTCTATTACATTAAAATCCATTGGTCTAACTCGAACTTTGAATGACTTTTTTACCACGTTTGATTTTATAACATAGACATTGGTAATTTGGTCAGCACTGGCTTGCTAAGGTTTGTGGACCTTCCTTAAATGGACACATTATCCAAAATATATTTGTTAGTGTCATCAATCTTTCCTGAAGTTTTTAAATATAGGGAAGCAATAAAACTCATGTTGGTGGATACAGGTTTTCCAATATTCTGATTTTTGTTTGTAAGCTCAAATTTTATCATTGGTAACAAATTCTGTCAGTTATTCATTTTCAAGAAAATGTTTGCCAGATACCCAAGTCTGCATAACCATAGTTTATTTGGCATTATTTCAAGTAAAAATGGTGTTTCATGTAAGTTCAGCTTACAACTCAATGGCTTAAATGCTTTCTTTTCTTTCTTTCTTTGTTGTTTTGTTTGTTTGTTTGTTTGTTTGTTTGTTTTTGAGACAACTATCGTACTTTATGTAGACTTCCCATTTCAGAGAACATTTTAAAATATCTGTGTGGGATCAATATTTAATAAAATTATATTTTGCCGCAATTGAGTGGTGGTTAACAGTTCATTGACCTCTGGCAGATTGGTGCCCCTGACTCAATGAATGCTGAGTCACGAGTAGTGTTAACCTCTGTTGCTTTTTCACCATCAGGGCTAATGCAAACACAGGGAAGAGGCAGATAACATGTTAGTATTACTAAGTGTGAGCGAAAAGGTTATTCGATTTCATAATGCCTTTCTTTTTCCAGATCATTGGTGTTTATGAGTCTCTAATTATAATCCTTTGTATTTTAGATTTAACAATGCTGAAAACTGGTTCTAGCCTTCTCAAAGAGAAGGAGGAAGATGATCAAGCAGACAGCATTTACAATTTACCGCTTGCAACGTCCCAGAGGCCATCTTATGATGGGCCTATGCCTACTCCCCGGCAAAAGCCATTTCAGTCAGGTTCCACACCCTTGCATCTCACTCACAGATTCATGGTAAGCCTTGGATCAACACTTCTAAATACTGTTATCTTGTGTTTAAGCATTTTCTCTCACTATAGCTAAACTAGTTCAGTAAAAATATTTTTAAAGAACTGGTCTGGAGCCTTTGGTTGATTTTAAATTTACCTCACAGCCTTAGTCTTATTTCAACTTTATTACTGAAAATTGTGTTAAGTAAAATTTGCCCTGCAAAATGATATATAATGAACCTAAGTAAATGTGGCTTTATCTTGCAGTACCTCTTCTAAACCTATACTTGACTATACTTCTAAACCTTAATTCTCATATTATATTAGTTTTTACATAGGAGATTATACTGATGCCATTATACTACTTAAAAGGTATTTTTTTTAGAAGGGAAATCGTACAGTATGTTAGGTGATATATCTATGAAAAAGAACTGTCTGCCCCCTTTCCCTACTCCACCCCACTGGAATGTAAGTTCCCCAAGGATGGAGGATATTCTGTTTTGTTTACTGAGAGCACTTAGAACAAAGTGTGGCACAGTAGGGCTTAAATATATATTTCCTGAATGGATGAGTGAATATTAGCTTTTTGTCTTAATTTTGAGAGCTAAAAAAATTTAATATTTCAATTTGTTCATTATTTGAGGTTTTCCACTCAAGACTTTGCTGTGCTTTTTGGAAGGAATAGGCCTGGCAGAAATGTGTATGTAAATTTTAAAGGGATATTTTATTTTAATAAAACTGTATCAATGACCATTATCTAATAATAAGGCTTAATTTTTTATGATTGTCAACTATTTTATATATAAAGTTATATTTATGGTAGAGGAAAGGAAAGACTTGGGCCTTTTGTGAGCCTGTAGTGTACATCAGTGGAAGATAAGTTTTCCAAAGTGATACGATTTATGTTGCCTTAAAATGTATGTATTTATTCCTCTAATATAAGCCAGTTATTTGGAACAGAAGAACATGCTGTCATTTACAACAATACTTTTTAAGTAAATAAATTTTTGAAATGTTTGAGAAATACAATGGTTTGGTTGTTCAAAGGTCAGTTATAAAGTGTTTTTTTAAACAGCAGTAATATAATTAAAAATGTTAAATGAAATATTCCACTTCCTAATAAGTTTGTGCTATATATATCTTTATTTCATGAGGAGAAGAATAATTATTGTAGCTCTGATGTTACTTGTGTTACCTGAAACAATTTAGAGGTAAATGAGCTGTGGTTGTTCCTGTAACTTAAACCTTGATATAGACTGAATCATAATATTTGTTAATTTATACCTCTTTAGACTACTGATTCTCAGAGCTTTGGTTTTTCTCAGACTTGTGTTTAACCTTACATGTTTGTAGGTGTGGAACTCTATTGGAATCATTCGCTGCTATAATGATGAGCAAGACAATGCCATAGATGTGGAGTTCCATGATACCTCCATATACCATGCGACGCACTTATCAAACACTTTGAATTATACAATAGCAGATCTTTCCCATGAAGCTGTTTTGTTCGCATGTGAAAGCACTGATGAACTAGCAAGGTAAATTTGAGATTAGAAAGAATTTGTCACTGTTGAACGGTTAGATGGGTTGTTTAAATTCAGTACAAAAAGTTAATGAAACCAACTTACATCTTTTATAGTGTGGAGTTTCAGAGCAAAGAATTTAGTATAAATATCAGCTCACTCATAATTCCCCAGAACATAGCTATTTTTGCCTAATTGTCTCCTTTTTATATTTTTTAACTACAAGTCAAAATGACATCATATGATTTTAATACAAGACAAATTGGACTATTTTTACATTATTATTATTTTTTATTAGTGTAAGAATAATATATATTAATTGTAAACAAATTTAAGTACAGAATTTTTAGAAAATTAAAGTTTCCTACTGAATTCAACTTAGATATAACTACTGTAAACAGTGTATGTGTCCATCCTGATATCTTTTTGTATGAACACTCCTTTTAAATTTCCATATTGAGGTATAATGTATATATATAATAAAATGTACTGACTTAGATTTACAGTTTGATAAGTTTGATAAATTTGTATGTACTCAGATAACCATAATCACAATCAAAATAGTTTTTATCACCCAAAAATGTTTCCTCATATTTCTTTGCAGTATACCCAATCCCAGCCTTGGAAAATTACTAATCTGGGTTTTTGTTGTTGTTGTTTTTGGTTTTTGTTAATATAGATTAGATTTGAATCTTTTCTTTAAAAAAGAAAAACACTCCCTGACCAGTGTGGCTCAGTTGGCTGGGCAGCGTTCCTTGAAGCGAAAGGTTTCAGTCTGATTCCCAGCCAGGGCATGTGCCTGGATTGTGGGTTTGGTCCCCCGCCGGGGCATACATGAGAGGCAATCCTCTGATATTTCTCTTTCTCTCTCCCTCCTCCTCCTCTGTCTAAAATAAATAAAATCTTTAAAACACATATACACACACCAAAAAATGTTACTGCTATTTGTGTTTGATTAAAAAAAAAATTTTATTCTCACTCAAGAACACTTTTTTACTGCTTTAGAGAGAGAGGAGAGGGGAGAGAGAAAAAGAGAGCTTCTCATATGTACCTCAACTAGGGGTCCACACCTGGGTAAGTGTCCCCCAACTGGGAATCAGATTCCTAACCTTTCAGCCAATGGGATGATGCTCCAACCAACTGAGCTACACCAGCTAGGACTCTCTGTTTGATTTTTTTAAACTTAGTATATTTTGGATCTCTTTTATATTTCAATAGGTAGGGAGGGGGGTAAATAGGAAGGTAGGTAGGTTGATGAAAAGTTATGGTGGAAAAGCTGTAGATGCAGAGGGTTTTTTTGTTTTTTTGTTTTTTTAAGACAAAGACATTTTACTAACCTTTTGTTTTTCCAGCCAAGTTTCCTCTTTCTTGATTTTTTCCTTCAGCTGATTATAATATTTATACACTTAATCATAGATTTTACTAACTCCCAGGTGAGCTGAAATTCAAACTCTTCTCATTAAATAGATTAGCTCCTCGCTACTCGAAATGTGGTCCACAAACTAACAGCATGAGTTACCTAAGAGCTTGTTGAAAACAGAATCTCAGATTCCATCCTAGAGCTAATCAGAGCCTATATTTTAGCAAGATCCTTAGGTGATTGAGCATGTATTAAAGTCTGAGAAATACTATATTAGGTCATTTCTAAAAATAATTTAAAAATTTTTTTCAATTACAGTTGACATACAATATTAGTTTCAGGTGTACATTAGGTCATTTTAACATTTTAATTGGTTTTTTAATTGACACATTGTAAAATCAATATTGAATTAGTTTATTTAATTCAATATTAAATTAGTTTATTAAAATAAAGCACTGTTGACTTAGTGTCTCTAGCCCAGAATATCTTACATAATTAAAACTTTTATTTGCATGTACAATTTTGATTTCAGATACTCTTTTGTTTTCCAGATAAATACTTCATAACCATGTATGATATTTTCATTTTAAAATTATTGTTCGGAAAGTCAGTACTGCCTCAGATTAACAGTGCAATGATATATGCATTCCAAAGCCTAAGTTTAATAATAATTTACATGTATATGTGTATATACATGTGTATATATGTATACTTATATATGCAAAGATGAAGAAAGACTGGAAATAAATTATAAGCAGTGGTTGGTAATCACTAGTAGGATTATATGTGATATTTTTTTTTCTCTTTTAGTTTTCCCATATTATTTTTTGGGCCGGGGGGGCAATGAGGGAACTGTTGCCTAACATTTTGAAGCTTTCTTCCTTTTTAAAAATTTGGTTGTGATTTTTGTGTGCATTTATTTATTTTTTAAAAGGTTTTATTTATTATTTATTTTTAGAGAGAAGAGAAGGGAGGTAGAAAGAGAGGGAGAGAGACATCATTGTGTGGTTGCCTCTTGGCATGCCCCCCCCACTGGGGACTTGGCCACTACCCCAGGCATCTGCCCTGACTGGGAATTGAACTGATGACCGTTTGGTTCACAGGCTGGCACTCAATCCACTGAGCCACAGCAGCTAGGGCTGATTTTTGTATGCATTTAAAACCTAGCATCATACATACTCTGCACATTTTAGCTGTCTTTTTTTTTTTTTTTTTTTTAACATTATGCTGTGATCATTTTCCTGTATATTTAAGTATTCTTCAATAACATGATTGTTAATGGTTTTAATATAGTTCATTTTAAATATATTTCATAATTCTTAAAGATGTTTCTTGTACTATTGTGTGTAACAGAAAAATAAACTATTTAGTTTTGTTACTAGGTATCATGATTAGCTATATATGTAAAATATCAAATATGAAAGTTTGATTGTTCCTATCTTGTTTGAATTTTTAGCAAGCTTCACTGCCTACACTTTAGTTCTTGGGATTCAAGCAAAGAGTGGGTAGTAGACATGCCTCAGAATGAAGACATTGAAGCCATATGTCTTGGTCAGGGATGGGCTGCTGCTGCCACTAGTACCTTGCTCCTTCGATTGTTTTCTATTGGAGGTGTTCAGAAAGAGATCTTCAGTCTTCCTGGGCCTGTGGTGTCAATGGCAGGACATGGAGAACAGCTTTTCATTGTTTATCACAGAGGTAGGTTTTTTGCTAGTCTTTTATCATTTTACCATAACCTAAAGTAAATGGAAATTACTTAGCTTTTTTTCCATTCTTCTCTCTTTGTGTTGGATTATAGACCTCTTTTTGCATACTTTTTTAGCATTTGACTCTGTAATTTTTTTTAGTGTAATTTTTAAGTGTATAGAATTTTATTGTATTCACTAATAGCAATGAGAATGAAAACATTTTATTTGTAGAAGAACTGTATTAGAGAAAGAATTTCAAGGTAGAGTTTGGTTAATTACTTCCATGACTATGTCTTAAAAGAATTTTCAGAATGTAAATGCCTGGAGAACTAAACTAACGCTAGTCTGAAGAACCAAAACGGCTTTGAAGTGACTTTTTAAAAAGTTGCCGCCTTTTCCTCACCTCATATTCTCTCTTCAGTCCCCACCACTATATTCAGACTGGTTTTATTAAGGTTACCAATTATTTCTTTATGCTTATTTTTATAGAATAATTCTATCATACTTTTTTTCCTTGACTTCAGTGACATCACCGATTTTTTTGCCTCACTGATAGTTCTTTCAGCTCTTTTGGTGGCCCCTCCTCCCGTGATGACCCCTCTTCTCTAGTGCTCTCTAGGTCAGGAGTTTTCAGTCTTTTGATTGCTTATGCACAGCAAGAAGTACATTCTATACTGCTATTTTGAACATGCCTGCAACTGTAACTGAAATAAAAATCTCATGGACAATATTTCCTCTTTGATTTAATTTTTTAAAATAATGGTTGCAGTCTGAATTGATTTCGTGACTCATATGTCAAAAAATGCAGTTTAAGAAATTGTCCTGGGGGATCTCATTATGAGTCATATCTTTAAATACATCCATATGTCCATGACTTCTAAATTAATATCACCAGCCCTACCCTCTTCTTGTATTTTCATTCAGACTTGTCCACTTGAAATATCTGTGTAGGTTTGATATACAGCTCAAACTTAACTTGATCATAATAAAACTGATAACATTTTTTTCCTCCAAACTTGCTTCTTACTTAGTTACCCTGTCTTGGTAAATAGCATGCTATCAATCAGCTGTTCAAGCCAGGAATGCAAGAGTTATCCTTGATTCTTCTCTTTCCCTTGCCTCACCCCTCAAATCAACTCTGTCAATAAGATCATAGCATCATGTCAGTTCTTTGGAACAACACATTCCAAATCTGTCTCTTTAGCTCCTCCACTAAAACCCCAGCCCCACCCACATCTCATCTCTTGGGCTATTGAATAGCCTTCTAACCAGTCTTCATCTTCAGTTCTTGCATTCTCTAATTCATCTCCACATAGCAGCTGGATAACCTGTTAAAAACATGCACTCCTTCACTTAGATTCCTCTGATGACTTCCCAGTGCTTTTAGAATAAAATTCAGACTTCTTATCATAGCTGACCAGATCCTACAAGATCTGATCTTTACCTCTTCAACCTTCTTGTGCCACTTTTTCTCTTGATGCTCATTCTGGCCATACAGGCTTCTTTATATTCTTCAAACTCACCAAGCTTGTTGCCACCTTTGAACCTTTTCATTAGGTGTGTTCTGTCTGTCTACTATAGTGCTCCTCTTCCTAACATTTCGATGGCTGGCTCCAACTTAGAATCCATATCTCAGCTTAAATTTCACTTTCTGAAAGGGGGCATCTCTGACTAGCTTATCTGAAGTAACTACTCAGCCTGGCACTCTGTATCACATGATTATTTTAATTCTTTGATAGCACTTAGCATTTTTTTGTTCTTTTATTTGTTTTTTAATTTATTTGTTTGTATCTCCTACCTAAATATGAATTTTATGAGAACAGTGGTTTTATCTTGTTTACCATTGTAGCACCAGTGCCTGGCACATAGTAAGCCGTCTGTAAACATTTCTTGAGTGAGTGATTTACCCTTATAGCCACTTTATGTAAATAGTCCATGTAACATATAGTATTCTGCCTTTTATACCTGAATGGTGCCCAGTTAGGTAGGTTATTCATAAAAAGTAGTGGTAGTTAATCTAAGAAACAAAATTGGTTTAATTCACAGAATATAATTTAGACTGCAGTATAGCTAAATAATCTTTGATACTTTATGTATATTTATATTTTTTCACTAGGAACGGGATTTGATGGGGATCAGTGCCTTGGAGTTTATCTGCTAGAACTGGGGAAAAAGAAAAAACAAATTTTGCGTGGTGATCCTCTTCCTCTTACAAGGAAATCCTACCTTGTGTGGGTTGGATTTTCAGCTGAAGGCAAGACAAATTCATTTATTTATATTAAAGACATTTTCAAGAAGAAAACTGTTTCATTGTTTCTAATTAATTTCTTTATAGATAAATTGTTTAAGTTTCTTTATTTTAATATGTTGGCAAAACTGGAATTGTTAGGCAAGGTAGCCATTGTTTTATGTCCAAGGTCTTTTTTTTCATGAGAATTCTGATTAGAAAACTTACAAAGAAGAAATACATGAGATCTGTCTGGAAAATGTCCTACCATTGTTAATATAATGAGAACGATGTTTGCACGACATTGATGTAATCTGGCAGCCAAGGAAAGCGTATTGGAATGCACATGCGTGAGCAATGATGACTTCACTGTACTAGCCCGTGGGAGTGGTAGACACCATTGACTGAGCATGTATATGTGTGACTGTTGCATTCAAAATGACTGAGTGAGTAGAGCAACAAGTCTACATCAGATTTTGCATTAAGCTGGAACTCTTCCATGGAAACTATTCAGATGATTCAGAAGGGTGCAGCTATGGGCAACTGGTGATTGATTGGCAGCTTCATCACAACACACCCACTCATTCATCACGTCTCGTACAGAGTTGTTTTTTGTTTGTTTGTTTTGTTTTGTTTTTTGAGAAACGTCAAATCACCCAGGTGACTCAGCCCCCTAACAGCCTAGATTTGGTGCCCTGTGACCTCTGGCTTTTCCCAAAACTAAAATCACCTTTGAAAGGAAAGAGGTTTCGCCCTGGCTGGTGTAGCTCAGTGGATTGAGCATGGGCTGTGAACCAAAGCATCACAGGTTCGATTCCCAGTCAGGGCACATGCCTGGGTTGCAGGCCACGGCCCCAGCAACCGCACATTGATGGACAGACCTTGTATTTTTCTTTAAGTTTATTAAGATAACAAGGAGATACAAATCAGTGGTAAAGTTGTGGTTATTCCAGCAGATTCTACACAAAAATCAGGAGTTTTCTGTTGCTGTACTGTCTGTTACTGTAACCACTAGCCACAAGTGGCTATTGAACACTTGAAGTGTGGCTAATCTGAATTAAGATGTGCTGTGAGTATAAAATACTCTCCAGACTTTGAAGATTTAGTATGAAAAGAGAATGTAAAATAATATTAAAAATTATTTTAACATTTTAGTTGTTAAAATTATATTTTGTGTATATTGGATTTAATAAAATATAAATTAGAATTAACTTCACTTTCCCTCCTTTTCTCATGTGGTACTAAGAAATTAAAAATTACATTTTTGGCTCACATATTTCTTTTGGACAGTGCCTTTGTAAACTCAGATGATTAGAAGGACACTGAGGATTACTTTATTTTAAGGAGCCTGTTAACCTTGTCTCCTGGCTTAACTATTTCTATTATTAGAGATTTGTACCCTTCAGTTATCATTAGAAACTCCAGTTTTATCTTTAAAACATCAACCATTTCTGGATGTGTCTTCTGTTGGGATATTAGTCATTTATGCTTTAATAATGTGACCGTGAATAACTTCCATTCATGTAACTTTTTATTTCCAATTAAAAATTAGATCTAATACTCTGAAGAAACTGCTGTTTGCAGAGTGAGAGGGCTGTGAAGTCAGAGATAAGAAAGGGGGTGATTAGGAAATTTGCTGGGCACTTCCTGAGGTGGGAGCAGAGTAGGGGGAAACCATGATGCTTACTTGTTTCCTAGGCAAGTTTTGTTTACCTTGGAGTTGGGGGACAGAACCATATAATAAGCCCAAGAAAGAGAGGGAGGAAGAAGACCACTAAAGACATTCTTTACATCCTCACACTGTGTCAGGTTTTAGTAATTTTTAAGTCTCTTAACTACTGAGACTTCAGATTTAAGTTTAATTTTTTTTAACTGAAATTGACTTTCGAAAATACTGCTTTGTTCCAGCAGATGGCATAGTTTTCACTGAAACTGGTAGTTTTTTCTCTTTATTTGGGATAAATATTAGTCATATCTTAGGCTTTGTTTGTTTGTTTTCTCTGTTAGGTCTTACTCTGTGTGGATAATGAAATTTTGTGAGAAAATAAATTTGGATTTTTTGCCATTTTGGTTTTTGTTTATTTTTTTGCTGTTTACTTTTGAATTAAAACTTGAATCATTGGTATGTATTTTTAAAATTATATGTATTGCCCTGGCTGGTGTGGCTCAGTGGTTGAGTGCTGGCCTGTGAAACAAAGGGTTGCTGGTTCGATTCCCAGTCAGGGTGCATGCCTGGGTTGCAGACTAGGTCCCCAGTGGGTGGTGGGGAGCGCATGAGAGGCAACCACACATTGGTGTTTCTCTTCCTTTCTCTCTCCCTCCCTGTCTCTAAAAAATAAATAAATATTTAAAATAGTATTTATTTAACGAATATGTAGCTGTGTCTCCAAGTGATTTGTTTTTCTGTTGATATTACAGGTACCCCCTGTTTTGTGGATTCAGAAGGCATTGTTCGAATGCTAAACAGAGGACTTGGTAATATATGGACTCCCGTATGTAATACAAAAGAACACTGCAAAGGAAAATCTGATCACTACTGGGTGGTTGGTATCCATGAAAATCCCCAGCAACTGAGGTGGGATATTAGAAACTGTTCCTTAAAGTATATTTTTATTTGTTTTTTACCTTAGTTCATTTACTTGCTTTCTATACTTACTAAATTAGAAATTTGTTTATATTCACTGTGAAATTTTCAATCAGTTGCTTGACTTGGAACTGAGAACAAAAAAGGGATTAAGTTTATTGGTGTGGCTATAACATCATTTCTGCCTGTTGATGGGGGACAGTTCTTATTAGACATGGCATTTCATCTTTTATTACAGCCTCTTATTTATTTTTCCTCACTGGAGGACTTGTGTTTTTTTGTTTGTTTGTTTTTGTTTGTTTTTGGTTTTTTTGTTTGTTTGTTTGTTTGTTTTTTCCCCATTGGTTTTGGAGAGAGAGGAAGGGAGAAAGAAACATTGAAGGACCTCAGTTGCCTTCCACATGTCCAGACATGGGATTGAGGAGCAAAGCTAGCCATGTTCCCTAACTGGAAAATGAGCCCACAACCTTTGGGTTATGGAACAACGCCCCAACTAACTGAACCCAACCAGCGAGGACAGCCTCTTATTGTTAACTATGGTTTAGAATCGAATGTATATAATTTAGCTGTTTTTGAGTTTCTTTACTTTTTTTTAAACCTTTGGGTATTAACTAACAAATAGGTTCTGTCGCGATCACTGGCCTGCAGTGACCTCGGAACGCTGCGGATGGCTCGTTGAAACACGAGAAAAACATACACAGAGACAACTAGGTCCTATGGGGAAATAGGAGCAGAATGGCTGTTCTCTCTAGTGGGGAGCGCCATGGCCACCCTCCCTAGGGGAGAGCACCCCTAAAAGAGAGCGCCTTGTTCCCCCACCCAAGCAGGCTTTTTATTGGGTTCATTTGCATAAGAATTCAGGTAAAGCTCATTACTCATTGCCAGGAAGTAAGGGTTAAAGAATAGACAACAAGGAAGTATGAGGGCCTATTTTGAGTCAGGGTCAAAGAGCTATAAAATTTTGAGGAACAAACTTCCTTCTTCCTTGGACCCTTATCATTCAACTGAGAGCATTCTAAACAAAGCAGGTTTCACAGGAGTTTACATATTCTTTCTTAGGCCTGATCACCCAGGGAACCTGCTTTTTCCAGCACAGGGCTGCACCACCCTGTCAGTGTTTCAGGCTTGGGTGGAGCAAGGGAAGTAAGGCAACCAAGAGATAAGGAGATTTTCTCACAGACAATGAGGACTCAGGCTTTGTCAAAACCAAGGGGCAAGGGTCCATCACCCCCTTTTGCTGTAGCCCCCAAAGTCCTTCCCTGGGGGCCTCCCACATGATTGTGCCTGTCTTAGGTCGTTCCCCCCTTGGAGAATCTTACCCGTCATTGGCTAACTGACCAAGCATTGGGGGCCAGTTATGGATGAAGTAGCAGAAGCAGCGCTCCTGCCAGGGAGATAAGCTTGTCTCCTTGGTGGTTTACGGTTCCAAGGTCATTCCCTCAGCCTTAGTGGGGGTTACAGCTTCTGATACCAGGCAGGGCAATTCCCAACAAGGTACAAGTTCAGTATTGATACATGCAGTTCTAATGCTTTTTTGTTTTGTGATTTTATTTTATTTTTAGAGAGTGGAAGGGAGGGAGAGAAACATCAGTGTGCAATAGCGGTTGGTTGCCTCTCACATGTCACCAACTGGGGACCTGTCCCACTACGTAGGCAGGTGCCCTGACTGCATAAGCCAGCGGTCAGTCTACTGAGCCACACCAACCAGGGCGCTTTTTGAGATTTTTAGCTTAATTATTGTAATAGGGTAGAGAAATTAATGGTATATTGCAGGTGTAGAATTCTCAGTCCAGATAGTCTATATTTAGTATTGTGTTGAAGATTTCCCTCTTTTTTGACCTGGTATCTGCTTGGTGTAAGAGATTGTCAATGATATGTAGGTACTTGGTGAAAAAAGAGATATCTCTTTTCATGGAGCTTATAGTCTAAGGAGACAGATAACAGAAACAACTAAATATTATTTACTACTTGGGATAAAAGCCATTAATTAATCAAAGCCAGACACATGATAGAGAATAACAGAAGGGCATGTTTTAGGTGGATTGATCACAGAAGATTCTTAGTGGAGGTAATATTAATATGGGACCTGGATGCCAAGGAGTCTGTTATGGCAGAATAGGGTGAAAAGCAATCTCTGCAGAGTAAACAGCATACATAAAGGCCTTGAGGTCAGAAAGAACTTGATGTATTTGAGAAACTGAAAGGATCTAAATGTGGCTAACATATAAGAATCAAGGGGTGATGGGAGGGTATAAATTCAAGATATCAGAAATTTAGACATATGTTGCATTATAGTCCATGATAGAGAAGTTTGGATTTTAGTTGAAGTGTATGAGGAAGCCATTTAAGATTTTTATCCAGGGGAATGTTGTAATCTGATTTATGCTATAAAAAGGAAAATATAATTGTAAATGGATTGGCACAGGTAAGACTAGAAGTAGGATGACCATTTTCCCACAAGTGGATTTATTCCTTCTGGGCATGTTTGGAAATTCGGGGTATTGTTTTCCGCTGTGACAATGATAAGGGTTACTCTGCCATTTAGAGAGCTGGGGCCAGGGTTGTTAAACATCTCATAGAGTGTAGAACGGTCCTTCTCAACTACAGGTAATCCCAGATGCTTTCAGTGCCGTCATTGAGAAACACTGAGGAAGATTTTGTAGTCATCCAGCTGAGCTAAAACAGTGGCTGGAACTAGTGTGGGGGCAGTGGAAATGAAGAGAAGCAGTTGCAAGATAGAAACAGTAGGATTTGCTATTAAATTGGGGAGTGGGTGTGAGGGAGAATGACATTCATATTTCTAGTTAAAAGCAGCTAGATGGATAGTTGAACTGTTTAAAGATATAGGGTGTGGGGGGGTCTGTCCACAGGGCCCCTCCTTGCCGCCACAGATGAGAATAAGTCTACCAAGACACAATCTGCTTGGGGAGGAAAGGTGGCTGATCTCTCAAAGGAGAAGGGCCAAGAGCCTTTTCCTCAGTGGGCTTTTATTAGGTTCATTTGCACAGGAATGCAGGTAAAGCTTATTAATCATTCTTAGGCAGTAGGGATCAAACAATAGATAACAAAGAACTCCGAGGTCCTACTTTGAGTCAGGGTCAGATAGCCAAAGAGCTGTAAAACTTTGAGGAACAAACTTCTTGCTTGGACCCTTATCATTTATTTAATTGAGAGCATTCTAAACAAAGCAGGTTTCACAGGATTTTGTATATTCTTTCTTAAGCCTGATCACCTGGGGAACCCTCCCTTTCCAGCACAGGGCTACACCGCCCTCTGTCATTGTTTCAGGCTTAAGTCAGGCAGGGGAAGTAAGGCAGCCAAGAGACTAGGAGACTTCTCCCAGACAGAATGAGGACTCAGGCTTTGTCAAAGCTGAGGGCCGAGGGTCCATCACCCCCTTTTGCTGTAGCCCCTCCAAGGTCCTTCCCTGGGGGCCTCCCACATTTTCGTGCCTGGCTTAGGTCATTCCCCTCTTTGGGGAATCTTACCTGTCACTGGCTAACTGACCAAGCATTGGGGGACAGTTATGGATGAAGTAAAAGTTGCAGAAGCAGTGCTCCTACCAGAGAGGTAAGCTTTGTCTCCTCAGTGGCTTATGTCACTCACCCAGCCTTAGTCATGGCAGGGGGGATTATATCTTCTGAAACCAGGCAGGGCGGTTCCCAAGAATAAGGGAAATTAAAATCCATTCTCTTTTAGATGTGTTAAGTTTGAAATGCAAATATCCAAATGGAGCTATCAATTGTATAAATATATATTGTATATATAATTCGAATTCAGAGGAGCAGCTTTGCCTGGAAATATAAATTTGGGAGTCACCAGAATATAGAAGTTATTTAAAGTCATAGTAATAAATTAGATGATTTAGCAAGAAGAAAGAGGGAAAATGGTCTTAGAACCCAACCCTAAGAAATTCCAACATTTAGAGGTGTCAGGTATTAGAGTAGGAATTTTTGCATGAGAAAAAATAGGATTAACTAGGTAAGTAAGAGAAAAATCATCTGAAGAAGATCATATAACAGATGCTGTAAGTGGGGACTATTTCAAGAAAGAGGCAACAGTGAGAAATAAAATTTGCTTTCAAATATATGAAAAGATGATTGATAATCACTAAAAATAAGATAAATATAAATCAAAACTAAAAAGAGAATTCTCTTTTTACATATCAAATTGGTAAAATCTAAAAATTGCTTGGTGTTGGTGAGGCTCTGGTGAAATAATAACATGTGTTGCTGACGGGGAATACACATTTGTTAAAATCCCGATTGAAGGCAATTTGTCAAGAACTACCAGAATTAGAAGTGTGTATGTCCTTTGACCCAATAATTCTGCTTTTAGTATTTGTCCTACAGATATACTAGTATTTGCTATTTAATGTACGATACACAGGCAGCATGAGCATCACCAGGGAGATTATTAGAAATGCTGAATCTCAGGCATCACATCAGACCTACTCAATGAGATTTTGCATTTTAACAAGATCTTTTATTGATTTGTGTGCACATTAAAATTTTAAAAATACCGCTGCTAGCAAATGTGGGAAATGAGACATGTAAAAGATACCTTACATGGAAGGATTGTTAATATTAGCAAAAGATTGGAAACCTAAATTTCTTTTAGAAAAATAAATATATTCTATAAAACTATTTATACACTAGAGTACTATGTAGTTTTTTTTAAATGGTAAAGCAAATCATATGTGTGATAAGTGATGTGTATCCGGAATATAAACAGAACTCTTTTTTTTAATATATTTTATTGGTTATGCTATTATAGTTGTCCTATTTCCCCCCTTTACTCCCCTCCACCCTGTACACCCTCTCCCACCCACTTCCCCCCCTTATTTCATGTCCATGTGTCATACTTATAAGTTCTTCAGCTTCTACATTTCTCATACTGTTCTTACCCTCCCCCTGTCTATTTCCTACCTACAATCTATGCTACTTATTCTCTGTACCTTTTCCCCCTCTCTCCTCCTCCCACTCCCCTGTTGCTCAAAAAAGACTCAGTTAAAAAATAGGCAGCCTTGACTATTTTGGCTTATTGGTTGGAACATTATCCCGTGCACCAAAAGGTTGCAAGTTTGATTCTCAGTCAGGGCACATACCTAAGTTGTGGGTTTGATTTCTGGTTGGGGCGTGTATGGGAGGCAAGCAATTGATGTTTCTCTCTCACACTGATATTTTTCTTTCTGCACCCCCCATCCCCCCTAATCAATTAATATATCCTTGAGTGATGATTTAAAAATAGATACATAATAAAATATTAAAAATAATAATAGGCAAAGGATTTTGAGTAGGCATTTCTCCAAAAGCATATACATGGCCAATAAGCATATGAAAAGATTCAGCATCATCAGCTATTAGGGAAATACAAATGAAAACCCAAGAGATACCACTTCACATTCACTAGGTTGGCTATAACCTGGAAAACAGATAATAACAGATGTTAATGAGGGTGCAGAGAAATTGGAACCCCAGCTATTGCTGGGTAGGGATGTAAAAATGGTAGATTTTGGCAGTTTTTCAAAAGGTTAAACATAGAGTTACTGCATGACCCCAATTGTTCCTCTCCTAGGTATGTACTCAGGAGAGTTGAAAACACATCCATACAAAAACTTATAATTGATTATTCATCATAGATTTCTTCATAATAGCTAAAAAGTGGAAACAGTGCAAATGTTAATCACCTGATGAGTAAGTTAAATGTGGTGTATCCCTGCAATGGAATGTTTTGGGGCTATAAAAGAGGATAAAATACTGATACATCCTACATCATGGGTGAACCTAGAAAATGTTACGCTAAGTGAATGAAGCCAGATACAAAAGGCCACATACTATCATTCCATTTATATCAAATCTTCAGCATAGGCAAATCCATAGCTACAGAAAGTACATTAGTGGTTGCCAAGGACTGCAAGGGAGGGGACAGTGGAGAATAGGGAGAGACTGCTGATGGGTGTGAGCTTTCTCTTTGGGATGATGAAAGTGTTTTGGAATTAGATGGTGGTGATAGATGCACAACTCTAAATATACTAAAAACTGAATTATACACTATGATATCATATGACTATGGTATGTTCAGTGTGAACTTTGGTATATGAATTATATATCTTAATAAAGCTATTAAAAAAGGGTAAGGATGCTGAATGTAGTGATATGGAAAATACGTAATTGTATTTGCTTATATATGCCAAAGAATTCCTGGGAGAGTAAAAAAGGAAACTAACAGCAGTTACCTGGTAGAAGGAAACTCAGTAGATAGTACAGGAGACTTTTCCGTATTCTCTTTTACACTTTGTTTATGTACATGTTTTACTTGTTCGAAAATTAAGTTGAAATTTTTTAAGTGAAAGAGGAAATTCAGTAACCCGAATCAGATAAGAATAGGGGTTAAGTTCAAGAAGACTTCTTAGTTTAGATACATGGAAGTGATTGGTAACCCTTATGAAAGTACTTTTAGTGACATGATAAAACGTTAAATTCCAGATTGGGGTGGGCTGAGAGCATGTGAAGTGAAGAAATAAAAGCATAATATGTAGCCCTGGCTGGGTGGCTCGGTTGGTCGGAGCGTCATCCCATGTACAAAATGGTTGTGGGTTTGACCCCCCATCGGAGCTCATATAGGAGGCAACTGATGAATGTTTTTCTCTCACATCAATGTCTCTCTCTCAAACTCTCCCTCTCTCTCTAAAATCAATAAGCATATCCTTGGGTGAGGATTCTAAAAAATGCATAATATGTAAATAACTTGAACAGAAGTTCAGCTGTGAAGTGGAAGAGATGGGGTGGTATCTAAAGAAGGCTATTAAATCAAAGAAGGAATTATTTAGTTTGAGTGACTTTACAGCATTTTTGTCATCTTTTGGCAATAAATTTAGTAAACAGGATGAGATTGATAATGTAAGAAAAGGAGAGAATTGAAGGAATGAAATCCTCAAAAAAAAGAAAAGAAAAGAAAAGAAAGGTGATCGACTTTAGACCATCTGTCTAAAATAGGAAATAAGACATTTTATCAGTCGTGAGAGGGAAGAAGATAGACAATTGCAGACATATTTAGTGGTTGAAAGGTGACAGGAATTCCTGTCTGAGGGCTTCTGTAGTGTTGGCAGGTCATGGAGCCATGTTGAGGGTATTTTTGGAGGCAGTGGTGGGCAGTGTGGGATGTTTGGGAAAACATGATCTTAGAAAATGCAAAATCAAACTAATAGAGAACCATAAAGGAATTAATTGCTGGTTAATATCCCTGTGCCTTAACTTTTCAAAATCTCCAAGTACTCCATTGGACATTTTTAATATCAAATGGAGTATATTAGTTAACTACTTTTAACAGTTCTTAGGGTGTAGGTTGTTCTCGGAATTTTTTGCATGTTATTCTCAGGAATCAAGTTATTTAGTAATTTGAATGAAAGAATTCACATTTTTATCATAAGAGGCTAAGTTTTGAACCTATATGGATTTTTACTGTTCCATCTAATGTTTATGCAAGTAAGATGATTTGTTTTGTTAGAAAATGCCATCTTGAAAAGGTATATTTAGTCCTGGCTGGTGTAGCTTAATGGATTGAGCATGGACCTGTGAGCCAAAGGGTCACCGGTTCAATTCCTAGTTTAGGGCACATGCCTGAGTTGTGGGCCAGGTCCCCAGTAGATGGCATGTGAGAGGCAACCACACATTGATGTTTCTCTCCCTCTCTTTCTCTTTTCTTCCCCTCTCTCTAAAAATAAATAAAATCTTAAAAAAAAGAAAAGGTGTATTTAATTTAATATTATAAATATATGTTTTTATGCTAAGACTTTTTCTTTACTAACAGGTGCATTCCTTGTAAAGGCTCTCGGTTTCCTCCCACCCTTCCGCGCCCCGCTGTAGCTATATTATCCTTTAAGCTTCCTTACTGTCAGATTGCAACAGAGAAGGGACAGATGGAGGTATGTGGAAATCTTGCATTGACACTCTAACTGCCTGTGACACAGCCATTTAAGAATTGTCCCGATGACCAGTATTGAGAATTCATTACTTTGTAATTAAATAGAGGTCGCAGAGAGGGAGGGAACTGCTTATGGTCACCAGGGCGCCTTATTGCCATCTCTGTCGCCAACAACTTTGCCTGGGAGGTGAACGGGTAGTGTCCCCAGTGCTGCACAAGTATGAGCATCACTGTCAGAGTAGGGCAAGTCCTGAGACAGTGTGCCTCTATGAGGTTTTTGTGCCATGAGTTTTGATTCACCCTAGTCCTAACCCTACATCATCTAAAGTCATTTGAAATCTTGTATTTAGTTACTCTAAACAAGAATCAATTTGCTTCTAAATAACTAGTTAATCCAGTTATTTGAGTATTAACTATAATAGCTAGGAAACTCTTTTAAAACACTACATTTCTTCACTATTCCCTCTCCCCTTTTAAGGATAGGAGATAAAATCAAGCCATAGTATCCCATTAATTAGAATTTGATGCTATAGAGATGAGTATTTCAGAAAATATTTTATTCAGAAACTGGCACGTTAAGATAAATATTTAACACTTGCCTGGCATTAAATGATAGATAGTTGACTGAGTGATTTTTTTTTCTACTTTTGCAGGAACAGTTTTGGCGTTCAGTCATGTTTCACAACCACCTTGATTATTTAGCTAAAAATGGTTATGAATATGAAGAGAGCACTAAAAATCAAGCAATGAGAGAACAATATGAACTTTTATTGAAAATGTTTGCAGTAAGTAAAATAAATATACTGAAAAAATTAAAATTAAATGCTCTTCTAAATTTGAATCTCTTAAAGGTATGTGAGTTAGCACTGACTTCCACAACCTGGAATTCTTAAGTTGTATCCAGTGGTGTTTTTCTCTCTTAACAAAGGTTGTTTTTCAGTTGACGTTGCATTTAAAATATTTGAAAACATTATCTTGCATTTAAGATCATAGGCAGTAATAAACTGTTCTGGTGTCACCTCTCTTTTTGCCTTTGCCCCCACACTGTTTAATTTAATAGGTCTTCCAAGTGATTTTAATGCTTAATAAAGTTTGAGAACTAGGAACTCCAGCTCGTACTCTTATGCTGTGCGACAGAGTTCCTAGACTTCCAAGGGTGTCCAATCTTAAGAACTTTCATAAAGCTTTTAGACATGCCTATTTTTTCTTACCTTTTTAGGTAACTGTGATGGTAAAAGTTTGTCTATAGCCAGTGACCATGTTCAGTGCCTGGTATATTTAAGTATTTTTACCTTTGGAGGTAAATGCAGTTTTTGAAACATGATGTTGTTTATACAGAGTAGTGGGTTTATACAGAGTAGTGGGATATAATACCTTCTTTGCTCATCTTGCACTAGGCTAGAAGTCGCTTGAGGGCAGTGGCATGCCAGGTACCCAATGCTATCTACTACACAGTAGACCTCAGTATTTCCTGAGAGAGGAGTGGTCCAGACTTGTCCCTTTAAAGTTGAGGGAAAGAGTTCTGAGGGAAAAGTGGTTTCTAAGACCTCAGAGCCAATTGTAACTATAGTTTCCAGAAGATGGTATTTACTACAGTCACCTTTGGGCAGCACTGCCTTTTGAGTTTAGTACTAAAGGAGTTCAATTAATTTATTGTAGAGTAAACTGTGTTCCTTTTATAAAGTGTCATTTGTGGTCTAGGAACTACTAACCATTTTACTTCCTACAACACATTTAAGGAAACATTGGATTTAGTTTTACAGGAGCTTTTCCTCTGGAGCAGTGTTTCTCAGGGGGATACTGGTAACTCTGGAGATTGGTCTTTAGCATTCCTGGCCCCCCGGCAAATGCCTGTTCAGCCTGGTTACTGGGAGAATCAGCAGGTTCTTGAATAACATCATTTCATTCAATGTCAATAAGGGGGGGGGGGGCGGGAATCAACTCCTGGCAGGGGCTGCTGCCTATGTGGAGTTGGCATGTTCTCTCCATGTCTGGGCGGGTATCCTTCAGCTACCCTAGTTTCCCCCCACATCCCAAAGATGTGCACGCTAGGTAAATTGTGTGTCTACATTGTTCCAGAGTAAGTCAGTGTGGGTGAGTGTGAAGGGAGGTCATTCTTTGAAGAATGGGGTCACTTTTTGTGCCCTGAACTACTGGGATGGGCTCCGGCCACCCATGAGCCTGAACTGGAATAGTGGGTTGGAAAAGAATTATCTCATTCTTATCAATCTTTCTTAAATATGTGAATAGCACACATTTATTTCAATGTTTAATATTAGAACTGCTTTGGGTCTTTGTTTAGAAGTTTGATGATGTTTTTGTGACCAGAAGTATGCTGTAGGAATTTAACTCTTACTTTGTATCAGTTAGCCTGTGGTAAAATTGATTTGTTATCTGTCCTTTAGATTAAAAGTCACAGTTCCCAGGAACCCATCAACCATGTTAAATAAGGACTTAACTGTACTTCCTTTTATTTCTTAATGCCCCCTGAGGCAGACTACTAACCCTGATTGAGAAGTACTGCTTATAGAATAGTGATACTAGAAAACTTGAGAAGGATGTGCAGGTGAATATTTAAACTTCTGTCTGATGAATCAGACATGGGATGTCCAAGTAACAAAATATATAGTCCTTTTACCCTGTGAATTATGAGACCCTTAGTGGTCGTTGAGGTGTTAATTTTTTTCACATTGTACTTGAGTTGTCTAAGTTCATACTGAAAGAAAACTAGTCAATGTTTTCTAAGAGATGTTAAATGAATGCCCTTTGTTTCATATTATTAAGTATAAACAGAGCAAGAAAAAGGAGGTTGTTTGCTAATTTGGAAGTTGTATATAACTGTTTCTGATAGCTGGAGATCATAGATAATCACACTTTTTTTTTTTTTTAATCTTCACCCAAGGTTATATCCACTGACTCCAGAGACAGAGGAAGGGGGTGGAGAGAGACAGTCAGACAGACATTGATGTGAGAGAAACATCCATCATTTGCCTCCCATATGTGTCCCAATTGGGGACCAAACCAGGCATGTGCAAACTAGGCATGTGCACTGACTGGGAATAGAACCTGTGATCTTTCAGTTTATGGGCTGACACTCCAACCGAGCCACACCAGTCAGGGCCACAATCACACTTTAAAATTATTGGATAAATCTGCTTATCCCCACCCAAATTCACATAGCAGTATTTGTGTGCCAATTCTGGGCAAAGTAATAACAAATAAATCCTCTACAATTTTATTCCTTCTTTGAATTTCTAGCCCTATTTGTTGAGAGTGGGAAAAGAAATTTAGGAGAATCACATTTGAATTTTAAATGAATCTCTTACTTTCCTTGCAATGAATAGCTTAAAATGATATACCATAGTTCATTGAATCCAAGCTACTGTTGATTGTAAAATGCACCATTATTTTATTCATTTACGCCACTGAGAAAAAAATGCTGCCAATTAAACTCTGATCTACCACAGATTGTAACACTCTTCCCAATTTCAGAGATGTTAAAATGTGTAAAAATGTGCATCTTAGAATCAGAGATGCAGTATCTAGAAAACTTTTTTCTCAGTTTTATTAGTAGTTTCATTCCTTAATTTTTAAAAAGTTTAACTTAATGCGATTTGATTTCTTTGTTTTGTTTTCCTTTTTGGGCTAGCTTTCCTGTAAACTGGAGCGGGAATTTCGTTGTGTGGAACTTGCAGATCTGATGGCTCAACATGTTGTGAATTTAGCCATTAAATATGCTACTCGTTCTGGGAAACTAATGTTGGCCCAAAGACTTAGTGAACTGGCTGCAGAGAAGGCAGCAGAATTGGCAGCAACCCAGGAAGAAGAGGAGGAAGAGGAAGAAGATGATTTCAGACAAAAGCTGAATGCTGGGTAAGAAGTATTTAGTTGTTTGAATTTTTCTTTACCATTCTGAATATTAACTTTGTCTTCGCATATAGCTTCTTATTGAATAGTGTTATCTTTTTAGTTACAGTAAGACTCCTACAGAGTGGAGCCGGTCAAGGCTCAGAAATGAGGTTGAAGAAGCCGCGGAAGACACTGGAGAAGTAGATGATATTGAAGAACCTGATGATACAGAAGAAAAATCAGAAATACCTAAGCAGGGTAAGATACATTTTAAATTATAAGATGCAGTTTCAAGATGAGAAATGTCATGTGTGGGACTTTCCCTAATTTACTGAGCTAATAAAAATGAATACAGTAGTCTTGCTTACCCATGATTTTGCTTTTCATGGTTTCAGTTACTCACAGTCAACTGTGGTCTCAAATATTGAGTGGAAGATTCCTGAAATATATTATTCATAAGTCTTAAATTGTGTCGTTCTGAGCAGCATGATGAAATCTTGTACTGTCTGATCCATCCCACCAGGGATGTGAATTATCCTTTGTCCAGTGTATTTACACTGTGTATACTACCCACCCATTAGTCACTTGGTCACTCATGTATCAGATCAGTTGTGGTATCACAGTACCTTTGTTCAGGTAACTGTCATTTTACTTAATAATGGCCCCAAGGCATAACAGTTGTGATGCTGGCAATTCAGATATGCTAAGGAGAAGCTGTAAAGTTCTTTTAAGTGAAAAAGTAACAGCTCTTGACTTCATAAGAAAAGAAGAAATTGTATGCTGAGGTTGCTAAGATCTATGGTAAGAACGAATTTCCTATCTGAAATTATGACAAAGGAAAAAAATTAATGATAGTTTTGCTGTCACACCTCAGAGTGCAAAAGTTGTGGCCACAGTGTGTGGAAATGGTTTGTTAAGATGTGGGGGGAAGGCGTGAACAGGAAACACCTTCAGGCTGGTGGCAGCCTCTTGCCCCAGAGGCACTGAGCCCTTAGAAGACTTCAGCAGGGGTCCCCTGAAATGAGTGACCACATTCACATAACTTTATTACAGCATATTGTTATACTTGCTCCATTTTATTGTAGTTATTGTTGCTAAGCTCTTACTGTGCCTTTTTATAATTTAACTTTATCATAGGTATGTATAGGTGGGTCCAAAGTAGGTTTATAGTTCATATGAAAAATAATCCAATAATTAATAAATAATCATGCAAGGGTAAACTATTTCGTATACTCACAACTATAAATGTACTTTTGCTCTGCCCTGTATGTGTAGGAAAAAACGTAGTACATATAGGGTTCAGTACTATTCTCGGTCGGTTTCAGGCATTATTAGGGGTCTTGGAATGTATTCCTCATGGATAAGGGGGGACTGCTGTACTTCCTTCTTCAAGATACCTGTCTCTTGATTATAGAGGATGACTTTATCTTCCCATTTACACTTAGGACAGAACCCATTTTCCAAAAGTGCAAATTCCTCTGATGTGCCATTTGTTAAGCCAGGTAAGAAATACTTATAATTTTGTAATATTAAGAAGATTTCTTAAGTAGTCTTTAAAGTGATACATCTACTCAAATACACTTTACCCTTTAGGGCCTGTTTGTTTTCTTATTTGTTTGTTTGTGGGTTTTGTTGTTTATCAGTGATGTTTATGAAACCATGGTCATTTAACAAATATTAAATGCCTATTTTGTGTCAGACATTTGACTAGATGAGGGATATGGAAGTCAAGAAGACATGCATGGCCGATCCCTGTATACAAGCTTATAGTGAGGATTGACTTTTTAAACTAACGAGAACAGATACTACACTTGATCTTAGCCGAGAAAGGCCGAGAAACAATCAGATTGGCTTTTTAAACTATACACATATATATCACTGTGATTAAGATACTATCTTTAAAAATATGCACAGAGTATTAGAAGAGCGTGCAGTTTATTCAGTGGTGGGAGGTGGGCTGGGGTTCTAGGGAAGACCGCACAGAGTGTTGAAAGCTGACACCCGAACAGTGACAGTAAAGTGAGCCAAGGTGGGTGGAAGCAGAAGCAGAGACAAAACATGTGCGACAACTTGTAAGAGTGGTGCTGAGTGAATGGTTTGGGGGCAAATGGGCAGGAGCCAAATCACGCAGAGTCATGTAGTCCATAGTAAGGATTTTGGTCTTTATTCTAAGGTTGTTGGGAGGCTGTAGGTTTTAAGCAGGGGCGTAGTGTGCCACACTGCAGAGGAGGAATGCGTGTTAGGAGACTGCGGAGGAGTCCGGGTAAGATTGAATAGTGGCCTGGACTAGGGGAGTGGTGATGGTAGAGAGAACGGGAAGAATTGAGGAGGTAGTTTGGAAGATGATGTAGAGAGTGTAGAAGTTGGGGTATGAAGAATGACTCAGTTTCTCGGCTTCTGTACTTTAGTGAATGATGGTACTATTTACTGAGTCAGGAAACACCAGGGAAAAGCAGGCTTAGATAGGAAGACGATGAATTTCTATTGGATATTTGGATAGGAGCTCAGGAAAGTAATGTCTCTGTAGTCGATATATAAAGTGAAAATCATTGGCATTAGTATAACAATTTAAACCGTGGCCGTGGGTAAGGGAGCAGTGGGGGAGTATGTAAAGTGAGGAGAAAAATGAGCTTAGGCTTAGGGAATCCCTAACATTTAAATACAAGGTAGAAGTGGACAAGAGGGGAACCATCGACAGAGAGTAAGACCAGAGAAGGAGGAGGTAAGTAAGTGTAATGCAGTATCCGAGAAGTCAAGGAAGGAGACAGTATCAAGGAGAAAGGAACACTCAGCTGTGCAGAATGCTGTTAAGAGGAAATAAAAGATGATTGAAAAGCATCCACCAGATTTGGCCACAGAAAGTTTTAGTAAGTACTTAGCAAGAGCAGATTCTGTAGGGTAGTGGGGCTGGAAGCCACGTTATGAGCAGTGAGGAAGTGGGAATAGTGTGTAGACAGCTCTTGAGAAATTTGGCTGTATATGGGGGGTGAGGGGAAATGGTGGCTGGAGAGTAGAGAGGATTTGTTTGGTTTTTAAGTTGGGAAACTTGAATAGCCAATAACCAGGGAAAAGTCAAAGATGGTGTAGCCATTGATAGGACAAGTGTCTTGACAAAGCAGGAGGGGTGAGATGGAGAGCACGAGGAGTGGAATTACTAACCTTGCTAAAATAAGACGCCATTTTTCTGTGCTCACAGGAGAAAAGAATAGATCTGCATGTATTGGGTTGGAGTGTTTTATAGTGGCAAGTTGCAGTGGTGCCTGTCCAATGGCTTTTATTTTGTCTTGGGAATAGGAAGGAGGTTATGTGTAGTTAATAGTTTTAAAGTTATGAAGTATATTTCTTTTTATATAATACAGATTAAAATGCTCATTGTATTATTACAGAAGTCAGAAGTTCTCTCTTTTTTACCACTATTAAGTGAGGGTTTCTTTCTCATGAAAGGTGCAGCTACCTCTGGCAGCCAAGGACGAGTAAACCCCTTCAAGGTGAAGTTTTTCCAGTGGTATTTTCTATTTAAATACATTTCCATCCAGAGAAATACAGGGTCTGACACAAATAATATCCTTGTTTTATTACATAAAAATCTTTATTACAAAATAAGCATGTATTCCTGTGACATAACAATGTCACACTCAAGCGCACCATGTGACATTTTAGGTGAAATGTTCAAATTGCTCTCCATCTCACGTGAGACATTCACGTACCGTACCAACTACCCTCAAAGGCGTTACTTCTGCCAGACCCTGTATTTTCAAACCACTCTATGACCCTCCCTGAATTGGAGGCATTAAGGCTGCAGCAGATCTTTGTGCCAACAAACGCAAAAGCAGCACAGATTCTCGGGTTGTATTTTCTTCTTATTTCTAAGTACCTGTTGTTATTGGGGACGTGGTATTTGGGAATATGTGTATCAGTCTAAATTTGGGTTGTACCAAATTTAGTCCGTTTCAAAAATGAGACTACAATACAAACTTAACTGAAATATTAAGGGAAAATAAATTACTGGGATTCTTTTTCTTCTTTAAACAAGATGTTAACACAAGTTTGTTCTTTAGGTATCGGCCAGTTCCAAAGAGCCAGCCATTTCAGTGAGTTCAGGACGTTCTGCTAACATTTTAGACAGTATGAACAAATCATACAAGAAATCTCCTGCACTTAATCGAGCTACAAATAATGAAAAGTCTCCAGTAATAAAGCCTCTCGTTCCAAAGCCAAAGTCTAAGCAGGTACTGCTTACCGCATCTGCAGCAGACACATGCTCTGTTTGCCTTACTATAGTTCATGTCCCTGTTTCAGGTGTGGGCCAGGAGGCCCCAGATGTCATCATCGATTGTCTGGTGAGGGCAGAGATTCTCCCTTCTGGATCTGCCTCAGAATCATCTCCCCCCACCCCGCCCCCAAAATATATGCCCAGACCCTGGGGACTTGGGCATCTGTCTTTTGTTGTTGTTGTTGTTGTTTCTAATTTTCCAGATGGTTCTGATGTGTTATTTCTATTTAATGATGACTGTGGAGTACCTGGCTGTAATCTTCCCTTGTCCCGTGTTCTGATTTTGCTTCTCAGGTTTCATCCCATGCCTGTCATGAGTAAAATAGATCTACTGTTCATCTTTCCATTTCTTATAACTCTGTTTATTTAGAAAACATTGAATTTGAAGTATGGTTTTGGGGGTTTGTGTGTGTGCACGCTCTTATTTTTTGAGAATTTAAGGGCTTAACATGTTGGCATAAGAATTCTAAATATTTTTCCACATTTTTTCAAAACTTGATTGTAACATTTAAATTCATACTTGATTTTGTTGCAGTACTCTTTATGATTGTTTTTACAGGCATCTGCAGCATCCTATTTCCAGAAAAGAACTTCCGAAGCTGATAAGACTGAGGAAGTGAAAGAAGAAAGCCCTGGAAATTCATTATCTGAAACTCCAGCCACATGTCCTCAAAACACTGAAAACCAAAGGTCAGTGCATAGGGAAATGTAGTATTCTCAAGACACAGCCTCCCAGTGAAAGACATGCAGAAGCAGCAGAAACACTTATGCAGCCCTGTGATTTGTTATTGTCAATCACTCATTGACACTTGTAGTGGGCATTTTGAATAATTACAATTTTAAGGAAGTCACAAATATTGATTTATACCTATTTATATTACTTATTAAAATATGCTTTTTAAAAGATTTTATTTATTTATTTTAGAGAAGGTAAGGGAGGGAGAAAGAGAGGGAGAGAAATATCAATGTGGGGTTGCCTCTCAAGCATCCCCTACCAGGGAACTGGCCCACAACCCAGGCATGTGCCCTGACTGGGAATCAAACTGGCAACCCTTTGATTCACAGGCCGGCATTCAATCCACTGAGCCACACCAGCTAGAGTGAAAGTGTGCTTTGATAACTTGGATGTTTTAAATTATAGATACATTTTATTAGGGCACTATATTTTATAATTAGTTTTTTTAATACATAATATAGTTATATGGCAAAAACATAGTCAAAAGAGGTATGATGAAGAGTAAATCTCTTATTTACCCAGTTCCTCTATCCACAAATAGTCACTGCAACCAGTTTCTTATATAGCCTTCCACAATTAATCTATGAATGTACAAACACTTCTATTAATCTTTTGTTGTTTTGTTTTTTTTTGTTTTATAGAAATGGTATCTTACACATTGTTCTGTGCCTTGATTTTTTTCACTTAGCAGCTTTTTCAGGTCATTTCAGATTTCTACACAGAGTTTCTTTCATCTTTTGATAGTAATTGAATGGATATACCATAATTTACTTAGTTCTCTACTGGTAGAGAAAGGTCTTTTGCTAGTACAAATAGTACTGCAATGGATAACTATATGAATGTCATTTCTACGTAGACCTATAGCTGTGGATTCCCACTTACATGGTTCAAGTTAATGTGGCCTTATAATTCTGATAGATATTGCCAGATTATTCTGCATTGTACACTGTTTGTCCATGTCCTGTTTTCCCACCATTGCAATATGTGACTATATTTCTTGATCTGTCGTGCTACATTTATTTAAAATGCATCAGTTAAATTGAAAAGGTCATTTTATTCTTATTACATTAACTAGTTTAATTTGAGAGAGTAGCTATGTTTTTTGTTGTTTTGCTCTGAATTCAATTTAGGTATTAAACTGAAAATTTTAAGAAGATTCAGTGTTTTATACTATCAACAGGGTATACAGAAAAAATATACTCAGTAAATATTAAATGTCCACATTACACCCTCACTTGTGACCTAAAGACAGTTGTGTCAGAAGTGAAATCTAATAAAATCGACCAGTGTGTTGTGTCCACTTTTTACTTACATGATGATGATACAAGAAAGGACCCACACTCCAGGTCAGCTGCAAGAGCCAGGGTAAGAGGATGGCTAGAGAGCTTGACAGAAATCCTGCAGGTTCTGGTTTGGGAGATGGAGAAAGAGCCTACCAAGGCTACATGGAAAAATTTTACTACTCCAGTGGGGATTGGAGACCCTGAGCCTGTCGACATTAAAACAAGAGTTGTAAGTGCAGAGTTCGAGTTTGCCGCACTTAGAAAATACAAGTGTGAGTAATGCCTTTGAACTGACCTTACAAAGAATTTTTCAGTTCATTATTCCTGTAGTCTCCAGGCAGTTTTAAGTAATGTATAATATGATTATGAACAAGTATAATTAATTGTTTCTCTCTTCACACAACTATGCAAAGAGTAATGGTTAATTACTAACCTGAAAAGTCATAAAGCACTTTAAACAGTATTTCAGGTATAACATTTTTTCTCATGATTGTGCTCTTTTAGGCCAAAGACTGGGTTCCAGATGTGGCTGGAAGAAAACAGAAGTAGTATTTTGTCTGACAATCCTGACTTCTCAGATGAAGCAGACATAATAAAAGAAGGAATGCTTCGATTTAGAGTATTGTCCGCTGAAGAAAGGAAGGTAAGGATAATTGTGTTGAGGTTGAGATCTTGGTGAATTCACAAGTTTTTAAAATTCTTATGGAAAATACCTTTTCTGTTTTTGAAAATAGAATACATTTCAATAAACTTTGTGTGGAGAGGAAATTAAGTAACTAAAATGTCAGCATGGAACATATGGATATATAGTAGCTATTACTCAGTGCAGCTGGTTAATTTGGGGCAGGTATATTGTTTACATCTGTATTAGTTCCTGTATATTTTAAGTTAGGGGACTACCCCAAGAAAAAGTCCATTACTTATAAATTAAAAGCAAATAAAATGAATAAATAAAAATAAAGTTAATTCACGTTTTTAGACTGGTACTTTAGGGTCTTATAAGCAGAATTTTTAAAAATGCTATTTACTTACACTGAATACTGCTTTTGGGGGGAAGAGCTGGTGTTCAGTTTCAGCCTTTCACATGGAAATGAGAACGGGTGGCTTGTACCTCTTGCTCTTCATGTAAATTTCTGCCATGTGAAGGAGGGCTAGGAACAGCTTTCTGTTGCAGTGGGAAGGAATGTGTGTAGTGTATCAGTTAAATCCTGGGACTTCACTTTCCCAGGGATGGCAGTGTGCAGCACGGACACCTGGGTGTCACTAGGGCACCTAGTGACAGATTTGCCATGATAAACTGGGTTTTGTGAGGAAAGGTATTGTAAAATGAGGAAGAAACTGGTCTAACCACCTATAGTTTCATTGAGAATCTCAGCAGTAGCTTTGTTCCTCATTTTTAATAGGTATTTATAAAAGCGTAAAAATTCTAAAGAATTAGGTAAAACGCCCTCTGACTTTTGAATGAATCAGACTTTATGTAGCTAAAGGAAGCGAGTTGGCAAAAGTTGTGATTGTTTCTGAGTACTTAGAATTGTAATCAATATTTTTAAGATAAATCTTAAACATTTATTTACATCCAGTCTGTTCATGTGAGAAATTCTACAGCTCAAATTCTCTTTTTCTATAGTAAATAAATGGGGAGGAATATAAAGTAGGGGGAGTAGGAACTATTATAAATTAAAAGAGATTTAAGAGACAGATGAAATGAGTGAAGCTGTTAGGTTCTTGATTAGTGAATAGAGGCCAGTCCCAAAAAGAATGTATACTGTACGCAACATCCCTGAAACAGCAGAGTCGGAGGGATGAAGAACAGACTGCCTGTTGCCAAGAGTCTGTGGGGCCTTGGTGAGGAGTGGGGGCGGCGTGATGGCTCCTTGTGGGGGCGGGACTGTTCTGTATTGTGACGGTGGTGGTAACCACTGAAGCTGCAGTAGAGCTGAACACACACACACACTCAAAGGGATTTGTGGTGTTAGCGTCCTTGTTGTGATATGATATAGCACTACAGTTTTGCAAGATTCTTAGCATTAGGGGGACCTGGGTAAAGGGTATATAGGATCTTTCTGTATTATTTTCTACAACTGCATGTGAATCTACAATCTCAAAATGAAAAGTTTTACTTTAAAAAGCACTTCGCACTTAATATGGTTATATACAAGCAGAGTTTTGATTGAAATATTATAGAGGTAGAATGTAAATTTTTTAATGTATTCTGCAATTACGTAATAAGAAATTTCTTAATGAGAATCCTTTATGATTAGCTTAACAATTCAAGTGCTAATTATACTACTTTATATACAGGAATGTTACCTGAAAAAAATTTTTTTAAATAATTTTCTTCCTATTTCCTTGTTATTGAGTAAAATTTTTTTCTCCCCCACTATTTTGACAAAGGCATGGGCCACCAAGGCCAAAGGAGGGACTGCAAGTGATGGAACTGAAGCAAAGAAGCGGAAACACGAAGATAATGAAAATCAAGAAACTGAACACCAGGAAAAAAAAGCAAAGGAGAATCTGAATTTGCCTAAAAAGCAGAAACCTTTAGATCTTTCTACAAATCAGAAACTGTCAGCTTTTGCATTTAAGCAGGAATAGAGTAAGGAAGTAGCCTTAGGAAACTAATGGCTTTTTTTTTTTTAACTGTCTTTGATGAATCTGGACTTTTAAAAAAATCTTTAGAAAACACTATATATTTTTTAAAAGAGTTTAAAGACAGTTGTTTGTCTTTGTAAGGTAGTGTAGTAATTATACTGGCGTAGTAGCTCTAGGAATATATAAAAACAGTCATTTCTGCAGATTCCATGGGAAGCCAGTTTGATTTTGTTTTTTACCTTCAAAACCGTTAAAAGCCAAGGTACTTCTGCCTCCGCGCATTGAAGTGCCTTGTAGGGAATTCTTCTGTTGGGTTATGTCATGTGCTGGAGGGAACCGCAGTAGTTCTCTTCCCAAGTGTGTCCCACACACTGCTCTCTCTCCATACCGGACCCAGGGGCCATGTTTTGTAATATGGGCCCTAAACATGTACATAATTTTGTAGATGAGACTTTTGCTTTTGTTCTGGAAATTTCTTCATAGATGGCTTTTAATTCTCTGCATAGCTTAGTTTTTAGTTTTTAAAAAATAAATAAAACTTTCACATTTCTGTATATAGCTCGATACATTGTATTTCCACGAGATAGAAATATTTCTAAAAATACATTTTATATTTATTACCATAATTTCCTCCACCATCCCTACCCTGCTGTACATTATCCACACACACAGAAGAGAAGAACTGAAGACAGTGTATTGGTAGTATGCAGCCCAGGGCATAAATAATGTGCTCCTGGTAAGGTACTCTGGTTACCAGCATTAGCAGTACTTTTCTGGCCAGCCTTTGAAGAGAATAAAGAATTAGGGAAAATGTTTACTTTTTTTTTTTTTTTTTTTTTTTAGAAACAAGATTTAATTTTTTTTTTATTTTTTAATTTTGAGGAACAAGACTTATTCCATACTTTTTTGATTACTATTCTAAATTGAGCTTAGTACAAATGCAGCCACTTAGTGAGGGCAAGGTACGGGGGTGGGGGTAGGTAGATAATCGTAAAATAAAATGAAGTTGGAAGGTTGGAAGGAAAACTTGGAAATCAAGTTTATAGTTTGGAAGGAAAAAAATATGTTAAAAGTTTAGATGTATAGGAGCCAAAGGATATTCCTTATCTCACAATGATTAAGGCTATAAAGGAATACATTTCTGATTTTTTAATTAGTGTTTAGTATTGAGAGACATTATAGCATAGTGGTTAAGAACACAGATTTCCATACCAGACTGCCCACGTTTGAAAACCCACTGCAGTACCTACCAGCTGAATAACCTTGGGTAATTTCTGCCTTTAACTCATCTGTAAGATGGGTATAAATAATAGTATCTACTGCATAGAGTTGTTGTGAGAATTAAATGAGACAAACGCACTGAGTTCCTAGCACATAGTGATGTTTAGTATAAATGTCAGCTATTATAGTACTACTGGGTATTTTACCTTGATTTGTCATTCAGTTTGATCATGAGCACGAATTCGATTTCAAGATCCTGAAGTAAAGGTTTGTTTATAATACTTTGGAAAGCGTGTTTATGGATACATATTTTGTTTTTATTTCCTCAACTTCCTTATTGTACATAGTGTATAATACTTAAGGATCTAATCCTTGAGTATTCTGTTTCAGATCCATAGGAACCTGATAACATCAAAGATTTGCAAATGGTTTTTTTAATCCCCTTTTATTCTGCCGAAGGGAGGTTTTTCTATTGACTTGGTTTTACTTAAAAGTCAGAACATTGAAACCAAGAAACATTATCCTTATTCCTTTTCTGTGTAAGATTAAACCTTTTTTTTAAAAAGTGTTTTAGAGAATTGAGGCTTAATGGTAGGAACGTGAAAATGGAAATAATTTATTAACCACCATCGTGATATCTATAATATTGCCTATTCTGAACTTACTAGGCACTATACAAAGTTACCATGCTTAATTTTATTCTCTAATAGCAAAAACTTCTTAAAGAGGAGGTTATTTTATAGTTTTAAATTCATCAAAAGGTCATTACCTAATTATTCCAGAGAGCGGGTGAGTGAGAGCTGGATTGTGCCTGCCAGCTCTGGGGACCATGGGAACCTGCAGCCTCTCACAGCCCGTGGGAGCCACAGACCCTTCCACACAGACAGCATCTTGACTGGTTGTCTGGTGGGCTTTTTTTTGTTTTCCAGCTGCTTTATTATAGAAAAGTACAATTTCCCCCCAGGTTTTTATTTTGAATAGTTTTAAACCTACAGAAGATTTCAGATAGTACAGTGAACACAGTTATACCCTTTATCTAGATTGACTTCCTTAAGTGCCCTCCCCATGTAGGATCAGTCAAGAATCCTGCATTGCACTTTATTATTAGAAGTACATGCTTTTTAAAACAGGAGTGAATGAGGGGGAACATCACCAATCCCAATACCCAGTGATAACCACAGGGTATTGGGTTAACATTTGAGTGTATGTCATTAGGCTTTTTTCTGTGCAATTTTTTCACATAGTTGTGCAGTCCAAATTCATACTCCATACTGTACCCTATGGGTTTAGGTTTTTAGACTTGCCCTCCAGCCTTTGCAATTGTGTGAGTCGATTCCTTGCAGTAAGTCTCTTACTATATATCTCTTACTGGTTGTGTTCTTTGATTGAACACTGACTAATTCAAGACTATTTTAAATAATTTCATGACAAATAAATTGGAAAATTCTAATGAAGTGAACAAGTACCTACAAAAGCAGAGCTTATTAGCTCTGGCTGGTGTGGCTCAGTGGATCGAGTGCTGGTCTGCAAACCAAAGGGTCGCCAGTTTGATTTCCAGTCTAGGGCACATGCCTGGGTTGCAGGTCAGGTCCCCAGTTGGGGGAGCACAAAATAGAAGTAACCACATATTGATGTTTCTCCCTCTTTCCCTCTCTTCCCCTCTCTAAAAATAAATAAATCTTTTTTAAAAAGCAGAGCTTATTAAAAGTTACTCAAAACATCAAAAAGGCTAAAATACTTCGGAATAAATTTAACAAATAAATGCAAAACTTATACTTTGAATTATAAGCACGTTGAAAGACAAGAAGACCTAAATAAATGTGAAGATATGTTTATGAATCAGAAACTTCTTAAGATGGAGACACTCCCCAGATTGACCTACAGATTCAATGCAGTTTCTGTCAAAATACCAGGTGGCTTCTTTGCAGAATCTGACAAGCTGCTCCTAAAATTCAAGGGACCCTGAATGGCCAAAACAGTTTTTTCAAAGAACAAGTTGGAGGATTTACACTTCCCATTTCAGAACTTACTGTATTTTTGGACTATAAGACTCACCTTTTTAACGCATTTTTTGCTTCAAAAAATTTTCCCCTATTTTCTTCCTCTAAAACCTAGGTGTGTCTTATGGGGCGGACCCCAGACATGCCTAGGTTTTAGAGGAGGAAAATGGGAAAAATTTTGAAGCAAAAAATGTGGTTAAAAGGTGCGTCTTATAGTCAGAAAAAGAAGGTACTATGAAGTTACAATAATCAAGACCATGAGGTACTGGCATGAGAGTATAGAAGTGACAGTCCAGAAATAAGCTCACATTTAAAAGTCAACGGACTTTTGACAGGGTGCTCAGGACATTTCAATAGAGAAAGGATAGTCTTTTCCATAAACAGTTCTGGGACAACTGGATTCATGCAAAAGAATGAACTTGGACCCTATCTCATACCATATTAGTAAATCCCAAGTGGATCAAGACCTAAATGTAAGAGCTAAAACAGAGTTTTATAAGAAAACATAGGTGCAAATCTTCAACCTTGGATTAAGCAGTGGTTTCTTAGCTATAATACTAAAAGCACAGGTAACGGAAGAAAAATGAAGCCAACATCAAAATTAAATACTTTGTGCTTCAAAGAACACCATCAACAAAGAAAAAAAGCAAGCTACAGAACATGGGCAAAGAATTTGAATAGGTATTTCTCCAAAGGATATACAGGGTCTGGCACAAATAACACCCCCTCCCCTTTTTTATTACAACATCATAAGCATGTAATTCTTTAACAACAATATCACACTCAAGCACACCATGTGACATTTTAGGTGAAATGTTCAAATTAACACTATGAAGTATTATATCCATATTATTACCCTACCAACCACACTCAAGCAGGCCTGCCAAACCCTGTACAAATGGCCAAAAGCACATAAAAAGATACTCAGTATCTTTAGTCCTCAGGAAAATGCAAATCAAAACCACAAAGTTAGGGCATGTGCCTGGGTTGCAGGCCACATCCCCAGTGGGGCCAGGTGAGAGGCAACCACACATTGATGTTTCTCTCCCTCCCTTCCCCTCTCTAAAAATTAATTAAAAAGATCTTTAGCCCTGGCTGGCGTAGCTCAGTGGATTGAGCACGGGCTGCGAACCAAAGCATCACAGGTTCCATTCCCAGCCAGGGCACATGCCTGGGTTGCAGGCCATGGCCCCCAGCAACCACACACTGATGATTCTCTTTCTCCCCTCCTTCCCTCTCTAAAAATAAATTTAAAAATCTTTAAAAAAAAACCCCACAAAGTTAATCACTTCCCATCCACTAGAATGGCTATAATGAGCAACATGGACAATAACAAGTGTTCATAAAGAGGTGGAGAAATCAGAACCATCAGATATTGCTGGTAGGACCCACTGATTTGGCAGTTCCTAAAAGAAAGTTGACCAATATTTCCACAACTGTGTATAAACCCAAGAATAATGAAAACCTAGGTCCACACAAAAGTCCACATTACTATTTAGAGCACCATTATTTGTAACAGCCAAAAAATAAGAACCCAAATGTCTAAGGGATGAATAGATAAAAGGGGATGTATTCATACAATGGAATATTATTTGGCAATAAAAAAGTGTACTGATACATGTTACAACATGGGTAAACCATGAAAACATGCTAGTTGAAAGAAGCCAATCATGAAAGATTGTATATTTTGTGATTCCATCAATATGACATGTCCAGAATAGACACTCCGTAGACAGAAAGTAGATTGGTAAGACTGCCTGGGAATAGGGGTTAGGGGGGAAGGGTGAATGACTGACAGCGGGTACGGGGTTGCTTTTTGGAGCGATGAAATGGCCTGGAATTAGTGGTGGTGATTGCACAGCTCTGAATTTGTACTAAATACCGAATCACACACTAAATGGGTGAATGTATGGTATGTGAATTATATCTCTATAAAGTCATTATACCTTAAAGAAATAGAAGATCTAATTTAAAAATGACTCTATTTAAAATTCCTCTCAAAAAGAAAACACCAAGCTAGATGCATTTGGAGTCGAGTAAAATCCCAGTTTTGTACACATTTTGGGGATAGCAGTTGTCATAGTCTTCGTATCAAAACCTGACAGGGTTAGTTCAAGAGGGAAAGTTACAAACCTGTCTCACTGATGGACATAGATGAAAACTCCTAAGTAAAAATTTTAGCAGGCCAGACTCAACATGCTGTAAAAAAGATGCTGTTTAGTTACCCCATTTGCTCAATCCTGAGAATACAATGTGGCTTTAATAGTAGAAGTTCAGTTAATGCTGATTCCAGGACAAGATTAGAGTGCTCTTGCATAAGCAGGTATCTTGTTCAAAGGGATTTGTGCCATTTTGCTTTTTCCCGTCACTTTATGGCATTAACTTTGTATGTCACTGAAACGTCACCCAAGGGCTCATAAACGCTTAAGTATTTTTATGAAGAGGACAATATAAACAAATTTAAACTACTGTAAAACTTGTTAAAAGGGAGTAGAACTATTGTTCTTTTCCTTATGATTTTATTTCATTTAATAGATCTATGTCTTCTGTTCTCTCCCGGTTTGGTTTTCTGTTGAAATTGATGTGTCTCTATTGTAATCATGGCTACTTGATCTCACCAAGAAACCGAGGTTTTCGAGGGCAGGAACCATGCTGGGGGCGGGTGATTGCTGGAGCCGCAACAAGCTTTGGAGCTTAGTAGGCTTAGGATTTATATCCCGCCTCTACCCCTGGAGCTGTGGCTCTGTGAACCATGTCACCTCTCTCGACTTTCTGTTCCCTATGGTCCTTGTAATAAAGATGACAGTAATTTGCTGTTCATACTTTCTTCTCAGAGAATCTCATGGGCCACATCCCCAGAAGGAGAGCCACATGTCTCTTGCCATCACTTCCCCAGGTCACAGCTGCACTAGAAGTGCACAACTGACCCCAATATTCAGGGGTCCCATCTCTCTCCCAGAAATGTGGACTTGGACAGCAGAAGCAGAATTAGTGAACCTGAGGAACTGTGCTGCACAGGCTTGTAAAGGTGAGGGTCATGGCCTTAGCAGGGCTTGAAAGCTAAAGCTGTGGGAAGCCAAGAAACGAGTGAGCAGAGGAAACCCACCTAGTGAAAGTGGGGGGGGGGGGAGGTTGAAAACAGAAAAGTTGTCATGTCAACAGTTCAGCTGCTTTCATGGCTCTGATAACAAAAACTCTAGAGAAAGAAGGATGAAGAGCTGGTACTTGAATTCTTTTCTTTT